AAGACAAGAGAGTACAGACTTGGATAAAAGCTGAATTTTAGCCAATATACAAGATAAGGACTTGTATTATTGCGTGGTTTGCCAACAAATCACAAGGTTGATTGATTAAAGCAAATCAATACTTTTGTTTTCATGTCAAAGACTTCCCAGAGTGTAGTCACAAAGCCTTCGTGCTGGGAAATGAAAATAGATTCACTGAAGAGAATGAATCAAAGGATTATTATGATCTAAAGATTTCAGTGTTTGCGTCTACTAATGAAAGGGATTCAGAAGACAGTAGAACATCTTCAAATGAAGATAAAAGAATTTGTACTTTATTGATTAATTTAAAAATTTGAGTTTCTTCTTTTACACTGTCATATTGAGTGTTGCTATACTCTTGTTACTTGTTACAATGTATTTCTGTAGTGATCTCCCATGAGTACTGCAAGTCGGAATGGGGGACCTTCACGGTTACGGTGATTTAGTTTGCCTGCCCCATTCCTGGCAACTTGTAAATGCTTATGGGAATCATGATGATTTTCATCCTTTATTTTGTATGATTTGTTCTTCTATGTAATCCTCTGTATACACTTTGTTTTGCCGAATAAATAATAATAATAATAATAATACTAATTCCAACATTAATGAATGCTTCGACTCCGCTAATATTATGGACTGACATTTCACTATTAAAGGTATAGACCAGTTTTGGAAACGCCTCCCTCTCAAAAAAAGAAATGGAAGCTCTTATTACCAATCATGTGAAAGAATATGTTTTGACTAATACGTGATGATACAAATATTGCCCAGAAACTGCCTACTAGTTGATGTATTTGGTAAATTATCATGTCGATCTGGCCTGGATAGATATCGCCAATGCCTTTCAACATGGAACATTTGGCATATTTTTCTGTTTTTTTGCAAATGTAGGTTAAAGCATTGCCATCTAAACCTCTGAAGGCAATATTTAAATCGTAAATATAAATTTGTTTTCATCCTTCATGCTCTTTACCTGACTTTACAAGCACAACATATTTTGATTTTTTTTTTGTGTGTGGTTACTTTTCATGGTTAGTTTGTTTTGCCACAAAAGCTTGAAAATTACCAGGCAGTGATAACATGAATTACTGGGTGATTGGTACTTACCTGCAGGGTAATCAACTTCAAGGGATGAACTCCAAATAAACCATTAGAGAAGTTTAGAAATCACAGCTTCCGTGCGTAATGTTGCATCCAAACTTTGATAGGTATGGTTCGTCACTTCGTACTTGCACCGTTCACCTTGCTGCTGAGAGCTACAGGTGTTTCATCATGAGGTGCATATGTCGGGGTAGTGTGTGAGTGTGTATTATGTGTGCAATTTAAGAATGAGGTAGAAGCAGATGACACACCCCCTTGGTGTAGACAGGCCTGTGATTGGTGGGATATGTGTAGTTGAGGGCTACTTGTTGCAGTGCACTGTCATGCTAGCTACTGAAGATATGAAGTTGTTTTGTGTGGGAGAGATTGAGGATATGTGTGTGTATGGGGGAGGGTGAGTGCCATGGGGGTGTGGGGGTAGAGTAAGGATGTGTGTGCATGGGGGATATTGTGTGTTTGGGGGAAGGTTAATGGTAGTCCAGGGTTAGGGTGAGAATGTGAGAGGAGGGTGTGTGTGGGGGGGGGGTGAGGGTGGGGGAGGGTGTGCTTGTATGTATTTGGGGGAGAGTGAGGGTGTGTAGGGGACAATGTACGTGTGTGTGTGTGTGTGTGTGTGTGTGTGTGACTGTGCTGTGCAATATATACATGTGCAAGCATGTTTCTAAGATCTAATCATTTATCTTTTGTCAATAGTGACTACTGTAAACATGTTTTGAATGCTTTTATTCAAAGCTCAATTTTTTTTAAATCTTTAAAAGCACTTTGATATTAATATTTTGTGAAGGATTTGGAGAGTCTTTTAATATTCTTGATTTTAGTAGAAGCATCTTAATTTCTGATGGCAAATCAAGATATTATTTAACATATTTATCATTGGTCTTGGGACATAATCTCTCAATTATATTTTGTATGCAGATAGCTACCAATTTACCAATACATTTTCTTGTTATGATACAATCAATAGCAAACTCAACTCTCACAAATATAAAAGAGTAAAAGTTATTCATAATTTCATGATACCTCCTATTAATTTGCTAACTGATCCTTTTACAAGAATGAAATCTTTAGAACCGGTTTTAAGAAATGAGAAAGAGGAAGTGAGAAAGAGAAATTCAGACATAAGGCAAGAGAGAAGGATTTTAAATTGATAAGAAGAACAAGATAGAAGGAAAAAAGGGCAAGTTCAGGGTTTTAGAATAGAGGATGATGATGATGGGAAAATATGTTAGAAAAAACTTTGAAAAATAGACAGAAATTGCTCAAATGAAAGATGAGAACTAAGGAGGTAAAAGTCATGCAAATGATATCGTCCTTTTGGAGCCAGAAGTTTTAACTCTGTGTGAAACGATATTAGTTAATAACATTTTGGCTCCAAACAGACAATATATTGTGGCCTTCGTATGCAGTGTTATGTAGACATATAGCTGTAAATACATCCATGTTTATATATTATACATAAATTTATAAGCCAACACTGAATCATTTACACAACAGGATCTTTCTAATAATTAGAAACAATGTACCTTGCAACCCTACGTACATATGGTATGAAAATTCCTGTTTTACCAAAATTATATTTTATGCAGTGCGTGAACACAAGCTAACAGCAAAGTTAATCAATATCGTTTGGTAAATGTCTTTTTTTTAAAACACTTTGATTAACAGTACACCTCTGTCTTCAGGTGGTGTGCCTAATTTGCAGCATAAAATTTAGTTAGTGTGAACTGATATGTTGCCCTGAAGGTTTTTCAGAGAAATGCTAACTCTTATTCTCAATGTGCGTGGTTGCATTAGAGAAGGGAGACTTATAACGAGCTGTAAACGATACTAGCTCTGAGCTAAAACTAAGCCGTGATGGTCTATTAAATACAAGGTGGAGCATTAGTGGTGAAATCTAGTACAGATTCCCAGGGAAATGTTGCTGAATGTACAATTCAAGATTGTAAATTAATCATGTAATCAGGCGCTCAGCATGTAAAAGTCATGGGATTCCTGACTGACCTAAAAGTTTAGGATTGCAGCATGAGCTAAATCCAAGATTTTGTTTCAGAATCTGAGGCAATGTTACAGAGTCACTTTAAATGCAGTGAGGACTTCATTTGTGCCATTAGCATGCATCCCTGCACATTGAGGAACTAGGAAGATGTAGTCACTTTGAAAGTATTGAGTTAGCCTGATTCTAATGTTTTTTGCCAGTCAGGCGAAAGAAGGCTGACATTAAAACAGCTGACCTTGAAACAATAGATGCAATTATCATATGACCAAAACAACTGATTTCCCTTACAGATAATTACTGTTGTATCTAACCATCCATTCAATGTTCAATAGAATTCAGGAAGACAGCGATCTAAATAAAAAGGAAAGTAGAGGGGTAGGGTGGAATTTGGGATAACAGATTTTATATCAAAAGTCAACAGGAAATCCAGAAAGAAGGTTGAAAAGGACTTTCATTTTCACCCTGTATTACAGAAGGAAACATTCCTGTACACTACATCGTAATTCTGCATCAGGTTATTTGTATCAAACAGTTTCTATAATACTTAAACCTGTGTTTCCATGTCTTTTGGTGTATTTTTTTCTCCATAGTGTTTGAAACTTTGAATTGAGGTACATTTGTATCAACCTGTTTTGGAATCTGCCATTTGATATATCTTTATTAGGAGTGCCGCATTGTAGTACATGTACTGAGATTCAATAATAGACTCTATTGAACAATTTGACCCAACGCCACCCATCATTTCTTCATATTGAGTTTTTTCTTTTCACAAATTATCAGCGTCACCCTTTCCTCTCATGTAATTTCTTCCTTCAATTTCAGAAATTTTACCATTTCATCTTTTACCTTCCCCTTCTTCCTCTTATATTTTCTTCTGCTTATCTTTTCTTTCCCTATTTTTAAATTATATTCTCCATATTTTATTCTGATTGTTAATAATATACCTGTATAAATATACTTATTTATATTCAAAATACATGTACCACTATATTTTTTTAGCCTGAAACGTGTTAAAAGGCCTATATTAAAGTAGAGTATGAAGTGTGAACACACCTTGTGCAGGGAGTGATGTAATACCACTATCTCACTCAAATGGAATTATCTCGAATATCATTTGGTGTCAAATTATCTCTGCTGCAAATCCTCCTTAGACCTCAAAAAGTATCACAAACTGTTTTTTTTTTATTGCTTTAGGCAATCATTAAAACACCTTGTCAGTTACTATTCCTCCGTGAACAACCGCTTGTGTAATTAGTGAAATTGCTTCATCAAACTTGGATTAGTTATTTTGTAATACAGGCTATTTTTTACAAATGATTTACATGCATGAAAAGGGGTCACCATATGGTTGTTAGTGTGTCAACATTTTGGCGTAAGGCTCATGAATCCACACCCTTCCTTGGTTTGTATAAAATGCAGATCAAAATATAATATCATGCACACTGCTTTAAGAACCTAATTCCCCCCCCCTTTTTTTTGTTGTTGAATAAATAACAATTGTAAAAGTCTGATTAGACTGAAAAAGTCAAAAAATAATGTCTGCTTTAAAGCTTTGAATTGGATTAAAACCTCACCCACACATCTTTTCAACTTAACATATAAAAATTTACCCGTATATCAAAGAAATTGTAAAGAAAAAATGTGTTTTCTCTGAAAATTATATCAACATTGTGTGTTACATTTTAAATCTCTGTTTCTAGGATATGCACTGAATTTGTTTACATTGAAAACAAAGAAAATGGTGATGAATCTTGACATATGTTCAGTTAGATCATGGACCTGCTATGGTTAGATGATATAAGCAAAAGATACCTTCCTAAGAATGCTATTATCAGCCAATCACATAAGGTCAGTGCTATTTTTGTTTTGTTTTATTGCGTAGTGCTGCACCAAGGGATGCAGTGACATCAGAGCCGTCAGTTCCAGAGAGAGTTGATGAGGTTTCATCTACCAAAGCAGAAGCCTCATCAGCTGCAGGTGACGGTGACGGTGAAGATGGGCTCAAGGATATCCTGGAAGGAATGTCAGGGATGAATCTTCAGCAGCCAAGAGAGGCATCTGTCACCACAGGAGGAGCAGGAGCAGGTGCCAAGGAAGATGCTGTGCAAACACAAGATGATGGTAGGAGTTTGCTCCTTTCTTGTTTTGTTCTTCTTTTTCTTTTCTTTCTTTTTTTTTTCTTTCTTTTTTTTTTTTCTTTTTTTTTTTTCCTTTTTTTTTTCTTCCCTTTTTTTCCTCTTTTTTTTCTTTTTTTTTCTTCTATTTTTCTTTTTTCTTTTTTTTTCCTATTTTGTTTTTCTTCTTTGTTTTCCTTCTTTTTTTCTTCTTCTTTTTTCTTTCTTTTTTCATCTTTTTTTTTTTTTTTTTTCTCTGTTCTTCTTCTTTTTTTTTCTTCTTCTTTCTTCTTCTTCTTCTTTTAAATAATTAATACAGGAGTTTTTACAACAATAGTATCCATTCATGTAACATTGATGATAATGATTAAATAATTAATTTGAGTTGATAAAACAAAATAGTTATTAAATCCCTTCACAAGTCAGAGCTAGTTAGAAATATTGTGACATTGATTGATTGAATAAGGGCCATTACAACCTGAGTATGTCTCTTGGGTAATGATTCATAGAGAGATGTCATAAAAAGATGTTTGATCATCATTTACAGAATTTTATTGATTGTTTTTAAACCGTTGTTACTGTCATCTCTGTAAGTGATTGTAAATTTGTAATGATAGGTTGCCATAGAGATTATCCATTTGCTATTTGTAATGGTAGCATTAAATGAATTTGTATTGCATAATGATAATAAATTAATAATATATATATATATTACTTGTACTACTTCAAGTAATACATGTAGGTGTTGTAAAAATTATGATAATTCAAAATATTGGTGATGTTGTTGATGATGATGTTGATGATGAAAATGATGATGATGGTGATGATGATAGTATTACTACTAATAACAATTCAAATATCACTACTTCTACTACTAGTAATCAATGACATTAGCATTATAATTTGATGATAATAATAATAATAATACTGCTGCTGATGATGATGACAATGATGATGACAGTTTAATTTAATTTTTTTTTTTTTTTTTTTTTTAAGGAAACAAAGTATTGATTATTTCCACAGCTTTGTAGACATGCTATCAAAATGAGGTGCCGGAGGACTGAGACCTTACATAACCTCATTGTGTTTGCATATATCCCAAACATTACAGTCCCTGAGGATGAAGCTCTAGGAGCCTGTGGTGTATCAGGTGAAACAACTACACCAGGAGCAGAAGATCAACTCTTTGGTAGCCTTCAGGAGACATTCGGTCCTCAGGTAAGACCAACAAAAAATAAAATCATTGGTTATCAAGTCATGAAATGGCATTCTGGGTCTGTGAATGTCTCCCACATTGAGCTCGTTCATCATCATGAATGGCATTTTGTGATGATTACTCCTACTTCATTTAATTCTTAAAAGGGAAGTCCACCCTGATTTGATTAGGTGGTTTTAATAGAAGCAGGAAAATGAGAGAGAAACAGGTCAGTGAAAGTTTGAGCATAAACCGATTCACAATAAGAAAGTTGTTAATTTCTTAAAGTGCGATCAATCAAACAAAAATTGGCAACTCTGTGACGTTTTTGCGAGGTGCCCTCCCTTTTGCTCTGTACTAAAAAACTTCCAACAATTTATATCATCCATTGAGAAAGTTTTCAATCATACATTCACCCTAATACATTATTGCAAATATTTTTTTCTTCAGCCCCTGTATGAGACAAATCTATTCCGTTATTGATAACTAAAAAAATGAAGGTTTATGACATTTTTCTGTACACTTTTAGAGTGGTGCCAATTTGTGTTTCACTCATGAGATCTTTAAAAAAATCATAGCTTTCCTATTTTTGATTGGATATTGCTCAAACTTTCACTAATTTATTTCTCTCATTTGTCCGCTTTTATTAAAACCAACTTAATATCAGGCTGAACTTCTCTTTAGCTTACTTGACAAAATTTGATTTTGGTAAAATAGGAATTTTTCATACAACTACAACTGAGACTAGATATGGAAGATTGCAATTTGCGTACATATTGTGTGACATTAATTGTCACCAACTGAATATCAGGGTGGACTTCCCCTTTAATATTGTCTTTCTCATTTTACTTGGTACAGTGAAACCTGTCTATAAAGACCATCCAAGGGAGACAAGAAAAGTGGTCTTTATAGGCAGGTGGTCTTAATGTACAGGTTCCTTTAGTACATGTTTTAATGAGAAACCATTTTCAAGGGAAACCAAAAATGTGGTTTCTATAGACTGGTGGTCTTTCTATGAAGGTGGCGCTAAAGTAGGTTTTACTGTAGCATATACATTGACAGGTTTAATAAAAAAGACACATTAGCAAGCATGTGTATAGCTTGAAGGCACAGACCCTTTTCAGCCGCGATGCCTAACAGAGGGTCTAAAGTAGGTGATTATGGAGACCACAGTCCATAAACCTGCTCCTATTTTAAACCAGGAAGCACCTGGGACTGGCTTTGCTCTAGACAATATATGCTACTATTAAAATTCAAATAAGGGTCCGTGTTTGCAGAATCCTACATGTATTTATGGTCGGATACGAAGGATATCTATCCGTCTTCAGCCGAATGGATGAGTAATCATTCATTTCTAAACCCTTTGGCAAGATATCAACCTGCACTTCCTACTCTCCACCCAGGTGTTAAATGGGTACCCTGTTGGATGCGACCGACATTGTTGGTCAAACATTTTTTGAGCGTCAAGTAACGCCTGGCTGAAATGCTCCCCAGGGAGTGGAGATTGTGCACACAATGTGTGCGGGCAAGTATTGAATCCAGAGAGACATTTGTATTAAGCGCTATATAAAAGCAGAATATTATTATTAATATTCTTTTATTTGATTATCTTTGTTCCTATCAGGTTGAGATGCATGCCGTGATCCCTCAGCCATGGTGCCCTCATCTGGACTCGGACGTAGGACCCTTGCCCTCCACCGGTCTAGACGTGTCGTTGCCCTGCAAGGATTGTGGTGATACGAGAGAGAACTGGGTGTGTCTTCATTGTTACCAGGTAAGAAGTGCATCACAGGACATCACACTCTGTCCACAATCCCCCAGACGCTTCAAAGAAACAATTACTGCGCCGCTTGTAGTCATACACATAGGATTAATAAACATGTACATATTCAGTCATTCAAATTTATTCCAGGCCAAGTGAATCTAATAAATGTCGTCTTTCGACATATATAACTCTTTTTTTCTGCCGCAAGAACTTAATGGCTAGTCATTTATGGTTGTAACACAAAGACTTAGCTTTAGTTAGAGCCATCATGTTAAAATCTGCCTGGTCCTTTAAATACTTAGGCATTAGAAAATCCCATTCTCTTTTCTTCACAAAGTTTGGATTAAAACACATTTGTGTATTTGGTGGAAGTAGTTCTATTTACATAATTTTTCTATTTCCAATGGATGTTTCTTCGCATAAAGTCAGATTCTGCGGAAAGACGCTTAAGTTTTAATAGGTACGATAAGCTGATAAAAGCCACTCCACTGTACGCAAATAATATTTCTTTTTGTGCAAGGATGGAAGTAGTTATTATTATTATATCACTTAGCGTGAATGAAAATTAAAATTACATAAATACATATAATTAGAAGAAAGTCTTGTTTTTAAGGCCTTTCTGAAGGTAATTACAGATGTTGACTGCCTAGTTCTAAGTGGTAGATCATTCCAGTATTTTGAAGCAGATACAGTAAATGTTCTATCACCGGCTAATGTGCGGGTAACTGAATATGTGAGATTGAGAGGTTCACTGGCTGACCTCAATGCCCTGGTAGGTGCATATCAATTCAAATGGGTATCTATATATTGTGGAGCTTGATTATTGAGTATTTTGAAGACAAACAATAGTACGGAAATGTTAAAATCATTCTTTGTTTCAAAGAAAGCCAGTGTAATAATCCCAAGAGTGGCTGAGATGGATGGTCCCTAGAAACCTGAAATATCAATCGGGCTGCCCAATTTTGTAGCCGTTGCACACGATCCAATTAAGTTGAGGGAATGGTAGAGAGAAGCCCATTACAATAATCAATACGGGATAAAAATTAAACTACTGGTAGTTGTTCTATTGATACAGAGAAATATGAAAAGATGATATGTACTACAAAATCGAAGAATCACGTTGAAAAGAGCCATACTTAAGCTTTTCGTTTTGCACTCATCAGAGTAAAACGCAAGAATGAAACAGAAAGCCGAAACCAACGAGGCGCGAATATAATGAGCTCTGATTGGCTGTCTAAGGTAACAGTTAATTAGGCTTATTACCAGCAGGTTATACCGGGATAATCACTAATCACTTGAGAGATTTAAGTTCAAGTATCCATAATGCAGGATAATGCACTTTAAAACTGTACAGCTCGTTTAACGTTTTTATAAAGCTATAAATGTTTAAAAACCTGCTTCTTAACCCACTTCTTGGCCCCTTTTAGGATTAAGGTTTGGTATTATTTTAATACCATAAGTTGAAGAAAAAAATCTTATTACATTTAAATTTGAACTTTTATTTAATTTGATTTGATACAAATCATCATCAGCTAAAATGCTTCAAACACATTAAACAAATCTTTTTCAGTGAACAAATTTTAACAAGTCATATTCATCCATCATTGATGATAGAAATCAGAATTGTTAAAGAACCTTCTTTCCCTAGTCAAGCATGACACATGACCGTTATTGCTGGTGCGTATGCATAGACAGCTGGATGGAATTGGAACCTTTCTTCTTCTATCAGACCAGGGGGTGTTCGAACTTATCTCTAAGTTGGACTTAACAATTATGGAGAGCCGTTAGCATCTTTGAAAAAAAAATTGTAAAAGTTATTTTAAAAGGCATATAATGTTGATTCTTGTTGATTCAAATCATTCACATTTTCTATTATTTCATGTTCGTGGAATTTGTGGAAAGGACAAAGTAGCTGAATTTTTGCTTTTGAAAATATTTTATTTCAAGGCTTACACATGGCTCTCCATAATTTTTAAGTCCAACTTAGAGGGGAAGAAACAGTAAAAGTAGGTGAAGACATACAGTAAAAAGCCTTTTTTTTTTTAAAGACATTGCAAACTCTTGTTTATATTGTTTATAAGCAGGTTTTATTAAATTAAAGATAAAGTTTACTTCTAGTAAAAAAAGGAAATGAATTCTCACAGAATCAAGCGAAACTTGCACTGAATGTTCAAGATTATAAATAAATGTCATTTGCCAAACAATTTTGGTAGAAAATGGATACTGGCTGAGTAATGAGCATAGAAAGATAAGGAAATCAAGGTAAGTAACCCCAACACCATTTGTGTAGTCCCATGTACATCTTTCTGTGTACAGTGCTTTTTACTTTACCAAGACTGGGCCAAATTTATTATGATTTTAATGACTCCAGAACCTTGCAGTACACACCAATACTTACATGCTTCATGATTAACTTTTTCTGAATCATTCCACACCTTTTCTTTCACAATGCAATCACATGACCAGAACTCAACTTTATCTTTAATGAGATATTCTTTTCTCTATATTCAAGTCTTATGTGTATTTGTATTTACAGGTCTACTGTGGACGCTATGTCAATGAGCACATGTTAATGCATGGGTTGGAGTCTAGTCATCTCATGGTGCTTAGCTATGCTGACTTGTCTGCTTGGTGCTATGGATGTGATGCGTATATACATAATGAGGTGAGTTCTTCTTTAATTAGAGTTTCAGATTCCTGTACATAACTGATAATATTAATAATATTTGGTTCTTGTATAGCGCATATCACATTATACATCGTCTCTATGCGCTTCCTATTAAGAGCTTTGGAAATTATTACCCTAGCTTTAGCTCCGACAGCTGTAATCCTACCAGGTCCTTTATGTACACTGATCTATTAAGATTTGACCTCTAGTTTGACCTAGTGTGACCTCCAGTTTGACCTCCATGTAGACTGAACAGCATTTTGTCTCACTCTGACCTGATTCTTCTTCTAGACTCATATTTGTAATCAAGATTTGTAAGTGCTTGTGTATCATGCCCTCAATCACATGTTGATCTTCTTTTTTAAAATCTTTTTCTTTCTTTTTTCTTGTAGATTCTCATACCAGCAAAGAGAGCAGCACATCTCAGCAAGTTTGGTACTCCTGGAGTGTAGGGTTATAAAGAGGAAGCTTTCTGAGGCTCTAAAATGCTAATTTTTTCTCTTTCAATTTAAATGCTGCACTTGATGTAATGTCCAACTATAGATCATCTATCGACCTATCTTCTTACCATAGCTTACAGAGCCAGTCAAATCCCCATCACCCAAAGATCTTCCATTTTGAAGGTCAAATTTTTTACCCTCTTCAGTAAATAAAGGCGTTTGCTCACAATATGAATATGATACTCGAGTTAGCATGAAGCATTCATTGTATAAATATTGTGTAGTTGTAGGCTTATTAGAAAATGCAGTGTGTAGTAACAAATGCAGAATGGAATGAAATGTTGAGATTGTAGTCAATGTGTTTTAGATTTTCTTGAAATATTGTGTGCTTATTGAGACTCAAATGTCGACAGTGGGGCAAAGCCTAATCCATAGTATTTAAACACAGCTACAAGTGCCATTTTCTTATCTAAATATGTGTTAATACATGTATGATTAATGTTCATACTGTTATAAATATGTCTGGGGATCAGGAAAACTCTTGTAAGGACTATACCGGTAGTTCCTTGAAAGAGTGCTTTATAGGGATTAGTACCGATTTGAAATATATTAAAGATCATTTAGTTGTAGATATAACATATCTTCTTTATTACCTCAGAGTAACAATGCAAATTAGTAGTGCAATTACATGCATATTGTTTCAGTTGTGGCAGTAAGGGATCCTAAGTTGTGTGAAATTAAATCACATTGTACCCTGAAGGGAAATATGTGTTTTTTTTTCTCCAACGATGAAGTCTTCTTCTTTTAAACATTATTGAAATATGCACATATCTATTAAACCCAAAGGACGACTCAAGACACCCGATTACACTTGCATGAGAAGACTTACATATGATAGCTGTCATAAAATGCGTATTCGATTAGAAAAAGAAAGCAAATGACTACTCCTCTTATAAATTATCAAGGTCCATGATGTCCTTTGCCCCCCCCCCCCCCACGAGCATATAAAAACTAGACACAAATAACGGCCTGGTGTGGGGGAAATTTTCCACAAAAGTTATATTTGTCGGTCTTCTCTGTAGAGACGATTGGCGGAGCCAGGCATGTACTGTATTACGTGCCAAGAAAAGGGGTTTCCAAGCAATTTTTTAAAAAAGTCTTTCAATGCATGAAGACCATTACTCATGTTGACGAGTTCCATGCTTTCCCATACAATATATCACATGATCTGTACTAATGTAGTTATGTTTTCAAGGTCACATTTCTGCCCGTAAAAGAATGGTTCATATACATGTATATATTATGTGTGCAAGTATATTTACATTTGAATGTTTATCCTTGTATGTTATTAACATTTGATTATATTATGTGTATATTGACATTGATTCAACTTTCTTTTATAGACATTTTTAGTGCTTATTGGAATTGATATGGGTTGAAAAAATATACATACGTATATATTACAATTTCTCTCCTCTGAGAGAAAGTTTAAGGTTGTACATTTAGTAAAATTTGTGGCAAATTCTTTAAGCTGCTTCTTAAGAATCAAAAGATTTCTTCATATTTACAACCTTAAAACCATTTTACATAGGTCAACTGAAATGTTGCTTATTGAATACCGGTATATGCCATGTACAGAGAAAAAAGCAGTTATGATTCCTTTGAACATATATTTTTATGTTACATGTAAATTTATCAGAACTTTATTATTTACATTAGCATCTTATAATTCTTCAAATCTTTACAAAAGTGGTCAAGATGTTTCTTTCTGTTGAAAGATTTTTCAGATTTGCAATTGGCAGGGAAACCAATCTACTTCAAATATTCATGTATGATTTCATGTACCCGTAAATTGTATGTTGTCTGGATTGGCTTATCATCGATCAAATCTACTCACTTTCTGTCATTTATGTTTTGTGTCTTCCACAGTATTATATCATTTAGCATGACTATGTTCATTTTGGATAATCATTTTCAGAACAGTCATGGGTCATCGTTTACGATGGCATAGTATTTTACTTTTGATTTTAAAGTTCTATCATTGCTTTCACACATACGTATATTATAATATATACATATACATGTATACAGATATATCTAACAATAAATTTGTATAATTAAATTTTGGTACATATTTCTGTTTCTTGAGTGCATTAAATTACTGACTTTGATTGGACGGTGAAAATGCAGTCAAAGACAGAAAAAAATATTGTTACTTGAACATTTAGCTTTATTCAAGTTCATACAGAGTGGGTCATATGCAATGTATACAATTAAATAGAAAAAACATTAGAAATGAAACCATAAAAAGAACTACAAAAAGGACAGTCATGTGGCACACATATTGTTCTCTATGCTCTTGAGAACTTAAACCTGGGCCCTGTTAGGGGGCATTTCACCACACTTGTCATCAGAGACAAATGACAGTTTTTTTATAAGCTACTGAAATCTTTGCTTCTGATGGGTTATCAGCAGATTTGTCACTGATTTTGTTGTCATTGAGAAAAGGCTTTCACGGTGAAACGCCCCCTGTTATCAATAACAAATGCTAAATTTCTCTGACACAAGTTGCTCTCAGCCAATCAAATGTCACAATTTCAGAAGCTTGTAACAGTTACTGTAACCTGTTATTGAAAATCAGATGAGACACGGCCATACATGGACATCTACATTATTTATAATATATAACGGTAGAAATTGTTAAAGAGGCAGGAAATGGATTGATCCATTTTTTTTTTTTTTTTGACACTTGATCTACATAAATCAATGGCAAGACGTAATGTGATGATGTTTTCATGTATTATGTATGTCTATATATGTATTTTATGTTAAGCAGGGCCCCCCAAGATTAACAGTATTCTAACTACTGATGGGGCTACCCTGTTGAAATAAAACGAAATAAATAAATAAATAATTCACAATATGAGATTATGCTTCATTTCTTTATGATATTTCCATAATTAGAAGACAAGTAGCCCTATATGGCCATTAAAATACCAAGAGCTGGGATAGTGTATCTTAAACAGGAACTGCATGCATATACCCATTTGGTCTATTGCTCATTTAGTCTAATTTCCAGTTTGTCTACTGTCTGTATGGTCTAATAATCATTCAATCATACATACTAATGATGTTACATGTAGGTCTAAGACCTTATGGATAGTAGATCTAGACAAATTATAGATTAGACTTAGGGTACTGAAATTTGAATAAATGAACAAGACAACATGGGTAGTGGATTAATTGGAGATTAGACCAAATAGCTATTAGCCTAAATGGTCATTAGACCAAATGATAATAAGACAAAATTATTATTAGTTTGTATGGATATTAGACGAGCTGGGTGTAGACCAACATGCAATGCACAGGTAGGGATACCCTTGGCTAGGTTACACATTGCTGCAAAAAAAAAAATCATTTCATCTGATGAGAATCATAGCATTAAAGGTAAAGACCAGTTGTGGAAACGCCCCCCTCTCAAAATCTGAAATCGAAGCTCTTATTACCAATCATGTGAAAGCATATGCTTTGACTTATACGTGATGATACAAATTTTGCCGGGAAACCGCCTACTAGTAATTGATATATTTGGTAAATTACTATATCTATTTGGACCTGATAGACATCACGCATGTGTCGCTTGGGGGGGGGGGGGGGGAATGTTAGAGGTCATATATATTTTTTTTTTGGTCCCGAAATTTGAAAAGTTGACCCATCGTCATTCCGTTTTTTAGGTCATCCATCAGGATTTTTTTAATTTTTTATAATTTTTTTAATAAAAAATAAAATATAAATACATATAAATAAAAAGAGGGGGTGGTTTTCAGAAAAACCATACACATAACCCCCCCCCCCCCCTGCGTACGCGCCTGTATGCACATGATACAGACATATCTAAATTCGTTACACTATGAATGAATAATGCGTAGATCTAATTCACTAGACCGCGAAAACCGTGTACAAAGTGAGTGTAATGAGTTAGTGAATATCACCAGGGATATGAGAGTTGATATCACTTTGCATTTTTGCTCAATACTCGGCCGTATAACGTCCATTCAACTTGGAATTTTCACACAACACCAAGTCAATACTGAACACCAAGTGAACATATCAGATAGCAGCTACATTTTCAGGCCTGACTCAGCCCGTGAACCACGCCCCCTCTAAGAATGATGGCATCTTCATCGGAGCAGTTTCCCGCCATTCGAGTTCACGGTGTAAATGCCGTATACGATGTAGTGATTGTGGGGGCTGGTATTCAAGGTTCTGCTACAGCATATCACTGTGTGAAGCAGGGGTTAAAAACTGTGCTCCTAGAACAAGTATGTTGGATTGAACTTACTTTTTTAAAATATAATTTTAGCTTTAATTTTCATTCAATGAAACTCTTGGAGTCCTATAGCTGCCTCCTTGTTTTTGAACAATCGGGACATGAGAAGGCTCTTGAGTCTTGGTCATTTGCGTTGATTTAAAAGCTTATCTTTTACCAGACGCAATTTTTAAAAGGTTAACAATAGCATTATAATATTTCTTTGTTGTTATGTCCTGTTCTCTCATCTCTCTCTCTCTCTCTCTCTTTCTCTCTCTCTCGCCTCTCTTTTTTCTTTCATTCTTTCTTCATCATTCTAATTCTTTGGACTGTCCATGCATGTATTTCCTTTTCCACTCTCGCACTCTCTCTCTCTCTCTCTCTCTCCCTCCTCATACTCTATTTCTTATCTCCTTTCTTGCCTAATCATCTTCACTGTATGTGTGCGTGCGTGTATAGTATGCCTGTGTTCTTCAGGGATTGGTGCGCAAATACTTTATTTTTTGAAATCCCTGGAGGGAAAAAAAAGATGGTTACCTTTATACTTTAACAAAAATATAAAATATAAAATATATTTCAAAAAATAGTGCTCATTACCCCCCCCCCCCTGCCCTGTCATTGCCGCCTGATTGTACTGTATTGTAATTTTATTTATCATACTCTGACTAGTACCGTTTTGTGAAACTAGGACCCTGTCCACGAGCACTTTGCATGTAAGAGTATCCCACTGTTTTATGCGTGTATTTTCATTTTACTGCAGCTGTCTTTAGCCCTCTGTTGTGTTCACATTGTTTTAAAATGGAAAAATGAATTGAATTGAAATCGAAAGACTCTATAGTCTCTCACAGGTCCATGGGATAACATTTGACAGAATATTGTTTACAGCGGGAAAGGCACAATTGTAAATTTCCACTATTATTAAACGTCACTGTGTCATAACGATCCAGTCTGCACAGCATATTATGTGTACATGTTTACAATGACGGTTCACCAAGATCAAGGTGCATGGAATGTACTTCGTTGGAAGAAGAAGGGGGAGGTCCTCTAGTCTAGAATTAACTGTTGGCTTCAGGGGCGGATCTAGCTTTTTGCCAAGGGGGGGGGGGGGGGGGGGGGGGGTTGCATGACCCAGTGGCGGATCCAGGATTTTCCAGCAATTTTACTTTTTGTTTTCCTTCTTTGTTTCCCTTTTCCCCCTTTTTTTTCTTCACTTGGCCGCCCAAGTAGGGGGGGGGGGGGTCGGCGGTTTAAACCCCCGGATCCGCTCCTGGCTTGTATTATTACTTTGTTCTTTAGTGGTCACAGTTTTCAAGTTTGTAGTTGAAATTGATTTTTGATTGGTTTTCATTCTCGTTGACCTTTATGGCTGACTGAAAGTTGCACCTGGGTGTTTGTTCAAATTAGTCCTTCCTGATTCTAGTGACATCCAGGGATTTATTTGTTCAGACCCTATGGCCTAGCTATATATCTATGGCCCAAACCTATACCTGTATAGATACTAAAATCAAGGTTGATTTGGGTCAGTGGATACCGTACTGTTTACTGCTCTATAGTGTTGCACTATGACAGAACACACTGAATTGATGTTAGTGATACAGGTACTCAGGTGCGTACGAAGGGGGGGGGGGGGTTATACCCCCTGCAGTATTTTTTAATGTGTGTATTTTGGATGAAACCCCCTCCCCCTTTTTTAAAATTTTTAAATTAAATTTTTTTTTTTTTAAATAATATAATTAAAAACAAATTATGTTAATGATGACCTAAAAAAGATGACCTTACCCCCATTTTTCAAATTTCGAGACAAAAAAAAGTGCTGCGGAGCCCCTGTAAGCTCAGGGGTTTTAGGCATTTAATTACGTCCAGTTGAACATATTTTGATACTTCATTTGTGACATTGGCAGGTCACTCATTTTTTCTCTTTCTTTTTCTTTCTTTTCCTCTTTCTTTTTCTTTCTTTTCCTCTTTATACTTTTTCGAAAAAGTGAGGGGGGCTCAAGCCCCCGAGCCCCGACGTTCTGTAGGCCCTGACATGAAGGCATCTAAATAAGCATATTTTTCGTCCGGTTGTAAATTTGTAATTTTCGATCAAACGCATAAAAAGATACGATTAAAAAAAAAATGGGGAAAAATCATGTCATTTCAGGAACATTTGTAAATCACAGGCACAAATTATAAATACCCCCATCAGTACGCCAGTGTTCAGGGGCTCATGTCTTCTCACCTCTATAATAAAAAAACACACACTCTTTCCCATCCTCTCACAATATTCCTACGATATGCGCGTATCGCTATTATAAAAACCTCCATATAGGGGCATGCGGAATGTATAGGAAATTTAATTCCTGTTAACTGTCCTTTTCTTTGAATCGAATATAACTTATATGTGATTCAATTCAAGTTTTATTATTTTTATGTTTTTTTTTTTGGGGGGGGAGGGGTCGACATTTTTGGTGTTTTGGGTATTTAATCACGGTCAGATGAGCATGCAGGAGCCCGTCTTAGGGCCCTTGGGGGGGGGGGGGTTCCAGGTGGCATAACTCCCGGAAGCTCGGGGTTATTAGGTATTTAATTACGGTCAAATGAGCATCCAGGGGGCAGAGCCCCCGGAAGCTCAGGGGTTTTAGGTATTTAATTATGGTGAGATGAGCATCCAGGGGTCCGACTTAGGGCCCTTGGTGGGGTTCCAGGAGGCATAACCCCCGAAAGCTCGGTTTTTTTAAGGTATTTAAATACGGTCAAATGAGCGTCCAGGGGGCAAAGTCCCGGAAGCTTAGGGGTTTTAGGTATTTAATTACGGTCAGATGAGCATCCAGGGGGCAGAGCCTTATTTGTGAAATTGGCAGGTCACTTTTTTTTTTCTCCGTCTTTTTTTTCTTTTTCTCTTTAACATACTTTTTCAAAAAGTGAGGGGGGGGGGGGGGGGGGGCTCGAGCCCAGCCACTTTGCAGACAAGACATAAAGGCTTCTAAATAAGCGTATTTTTCGCCCGACTGTAATTTGGGAATTTCTTATTTTCCAACAAACGCATAAAAAGGTATGACTTATAAAAAAAATGGAGAAAAAATACCGAAAAATCATGTCATATTAGCAACATTTGTAAATCACTGGTATCGAATAAGAATTATTATTATTATTTTTTTTTTTGGGGGGGGGGCAAAAATGCGTTTCCCTCCCACGTTTATGATGGGGGGGGGGGGCAACTGCCACCCCTCTGCCCCCCCCCCCACTTCCGGCGCCTATGAGCTTACAAGTTTACAATGTGAAATATAATTTATGAGGATTTTTTTTAGGGCTTGCATAGAACTTTTAACAAGTTTTAAATGTTTACATATTAAGTAATAATGAGTAAAAAATTAATCATAAGTAGTTTTTCTTAAACAAAGTCACTTATCTTAACCACACAACAGCTTAAAACTCCACTTGCAATTTAAAAACAACTCCTAACATTGTTATTATATCGTTTCCATGCAGAGGCAGTTCCCATGGCTATGTTACTCTTATTCTTCTTGTATCCAGTTCAGTCCGCCTCATTCCTGGGCAGTTCTCATGGCTGCTCTTATTCTTTCTTGTATCATTTAGTTCAGTCTACCTCATTCCCGGGGCAGTTCTCATGGCTGCTCTTATTCTTTCTTGTATCATTTAGTTAAGTCTACCTCATTCCCGGGGCAGTCACTCATGGCTGCTCTTATTCTTTCTTGTATCATTTAGTTCAGTCTACCTCATTCCCGGGGCAGTTCTCATGGCCAGTCAAGAATCATCCGCTACTCTTATTCTTTCTTGTATCATTTGTAGTTCAGTCTGCCTTAATTCTTTGGGCAGTTCTCATGGCTGCCTTATTCTTTCTTGTATCATTTAGTTCAGTCTACCTCATTCCCGGGGCAGTTCTCATGGCTGCTCTTATTCTTTCTTGTATCATTTAGTTCAGTCTACCTCATTCCCGGGGTAGTTCTCATGGCTGCTCCTATTCTTTCTTGTATCATTTAGTTCAGTCTACCTCATTCCCGGGGCAGTTCTCATGGCCAGTCAAGAATCATCCGCTACTCTTACAAACAATCACACTACTCTGAGATGATGAGTGAAGCGTTCCCAATGTGGAAAGAGTTGGAAAAAGAAACAAGTACACCGCTTTACAAGTAAAGTACTTGTTCCCATTTGAAGTTATTGTTTATAAGGCCTTTAACAAAAACAGATGTTGTATTGCCCTTTAACTAAGTGCCAAAACAGAAAATATGCATGGATCGGTCGGAATTTTTTTTTCTCTTCTTTTTCCTCCCTCTTTAGGCTGATATTTCTCAGTTTTGTGTTCATTTAACATTTTTCTCTAAAAAAAAACGTAAAGAAACTTTTTTGAAAAGCCGACCGTAGATCTCAAGACTTTGGGGTCGGTCGCAAAGGGCAGTACAGCATCTTTTTTTTTACGCCTAACTAACTGGACGATCGAATTTATTAGATTATTAACAGAGAAATATTTTTTAAAGATATATATACCAATATGTATATATTGCACACTTTTTAACAAAATCTGCATAACATGATTCTAAAGAATTACATTAATACATTTACGCTTATGTTAAAGAATATGAAATTGAGAGAATCACAAATATTCAAAGAGTCCAAATTCATTTTGTGGATTCTGTTTTTTAGACAGGGCAAATTCTAAATGTGAATTAATTGATGTAAACCTTCCTTATATTTCTTACTCATCTATTTGCTTGTATCTGATTAAAAGAAACAGGTGGCGCAATGGCTCAGTGGTAGAGCAGTGATCTTCTAACCGGGAGGTCCTGGATTTGAAATCAAGTCGATGCGCTAGTGCTCTTCGCCCTTTGGTAAGGCATTAATCCTCATATTTTCATCTTCAATATCAAACAGGCAGACTGGTCTTTTGACCATCTCACTTCCACCAAATAAAGGACTCTACGAGAGTTCCCTGGATCTGATGAGAAAGTTTCAAAGACCACACAGGATTCTGGACCACGAGACCAGGAAGAGAGAATACCCACAGTTAGATATTCCCAAAGACGCCCTGGCCTTTCTGGATTATGGTGGAGGTACCCTGAGAGCAGACAAGGCTCTTCGTGCATACCAGGTAAATTATGATGACGTTGGTAGATGGTTCCTCTAATATGCTTTTCACACTGGCAATATTTTCCTTAACCCCGTACTATAGGTGGGGTTAAGGGGTCTTAACCCCACCTATAGTACGGGGTTAAGCCTATTCCACTTTCTGTTCAGACTGGTTTTTACCAAAGTGGGCTAAAGTTGGCTAACCCCACCTATAGTACGGGGTTAACTAACCCTGCAAAATAGCAGGGCTAACTCCGCAATTGTGGTGCTAACTCCTGCTAACCCCGCAATTGCGGTGCTAAGCAAATGAATGAGAACAGAAACGAAAAATAGTCCGGTACTACGCAATGGAGCGTATCGCAGCTGGTCAGATGCGAAGTATGTCCAATCATAACATACACGATATCCGGGGTTAACGAAATGCAGTGAGAACAGCGGGAATTTTCTTATTCCGGAATAGGCGCTAGTACGGGACTAAAAACAGCGAGTGTGAAAAGCCAAAAAAATAGTCCGGGGTTAAGGATAGTACGGGGCTAAGCAAAGTACAGGGTTAAGCAAAACCAGTGTGAAAAGAGTATAAGGGTGCGTTTATGCTGCATTTTTTCAGGCCAGAATGAGTTTGGCTTTTGATACGCGTGTAGTTCAAAACACGGTTGCGTCCTTACTCATTTTCGTAGAATCACCGATAAACGGCGATCGTAAACTCACAAAAAGGTGCGTTTTGGTTCGGCGTTTCTCCAAAAAGACGGTTTCTGGGGAAGCACAAACGCACAATCATTTGTAAACGCGTTTACGCATTATTTTCTTCTGCGGCACAGATTGGGGCTATTTTTTAAAACGGGGTCTTGATTTAACCCTAATCCTAACCCTAACCCTAAACTTTCCCATAGGATCAACACGCACCTAACCCCAATCTGTGCCGCCGAAAAAAATAACGGTTCCGGTTCGCGTGAAAATCTATAACTAGTTGGACTCGTGGAAATTCCACGGGATGGGGGGGGGGGGGGGGGGTTAATAGATATTATGTGCTAACGAAAATAAACTTTAATTTTGGTTAAAATATTTTATTTAAAGATAATTTCTATGTTAGATGATATATTTTTAATATTTTGTCTTTTTTTCTTTTATTTTGAGATAATTTTTTCTCCTTTTCTTTTCCTTCTATTTTTCAAATTTTATCTCTCTTGTTTGTGTACTTTTGTTCTTTTACTTCTTCTTTTTATTTTAACGCATACACGTACACGCAGTGGCCGCCTGGTCTGAATAAATGCATGCTCCTGCCAGTGCAGTGCCTACAAAGCATATCATTTAGCAAGATGCCTAAAACGGGGAAGGCCTAACCAGGGGCGTCGCTAAAGCGACGACCCTGGTTAGGCCTTCCCCGTGTTAAGCATCTTTGCACTGCACCGGCAGGAACATGCATTTGTACAGGCCATTAGCCAGCCACGGTCAGAATATCATTGTTGGTAAAATTGCACTGCCGTCGGGAAAAATGGGGAAGGGAAAATATAAGAGGGAAAAGGAAAGGGGAAAAAAAGGGAGGAAAAAGGAAAGAAACGAAAAGAAAGAAAAGAGAGAAAAGAAAGAGAAAAAAGAAAAGAGAGAAAAGAAAGGAAAAGAAAGAAGAGAAAGAAGAGAAAGAAAAGAAAGAAAAGTAGAAAAGAAGAAAAAAATGGGGGAGCTAGGGGGGGGGGTTGAAAGAGAGGTGAAAGAGAGGAGAGGGATCGAGAGGGGGGTAAGAGTCTTAGATACGAGGGTATGCGGGTTGTTGGGTGGAGTCGTCTCGTCTAGGGAGCAAGAAAGATACGCATATTATACGTTGCTTTGTCGGGTCAGCTGTGTCGGTATTCTTGCTCGATCCTCGAGTATATCAATGGAAAACTGAATGCAGACGGACAAGGATTTATACCCCCTTCACATACACAGATTTTTCTTACGAGTCCTTACGGATCGCACAAATTCACGGATCTTGCACGGATCCTTACGATTTGGTAACTTTTACGACCGGTTTAAGAGTTATTACGAGCTTGTTGCGGTTTGTTACGGATTATTACGAGTTATTACGGTGTATTTACGACAATCCACAATTTATTACGAGTTGTCACGGATAACTACGAGTAACTAACGTGTTAGTTACGACCTGTTTACGTGTTGATACGAATAGTTACGAGTAAGTTACGATTCCTAACGAATTTTAGCCAAAAAATAACAACTGAAAATGAAGTGTTCGAATTTGCAGCTTTTATACCTTTCCCCAATTCGTAAACAGTTCGTAAGCATACGTAAAGTATACGTATCTATTCGTAAAGTACTCGTAACTATACCTAACATGCTCGTAATAACCCTTATCAATCCGTAAAGCCATCGTAAAATGACCCGAATACAATCGTAAACAACACGGAAGCCGTACACGTAACCATCCGAATACTACTCGCAATAATCCGTAAATAATCCGTAAACAAATCGTAAACTTACCGTAACGAATCGTTACAAATATCTGTTACGAGTCTTACGGATTCTTGCGAGCAGTTTAGGGATGGTCACGCGTTGTTGCAAGCGGTTTACGGATGTTTACGGATTATTACGAGCTATTTACGAGCTATTTACGGACAAATCAATCCGTGGACGATCGTAAGAAGATTTTTGACATGTAAACAAAATTGCCTCTCCTTTCAGGGATGAGTTGTTGCGAGTTGTGACGAGTTATTTACGGATACCAGCGAGTTATTTACGGATGCTTGCGATTGACTACGAGTTGGCGATCCGTAAGGACTTGTAAGAAAAATCCGTGTATGTGAAGGGGTATAAGAGTCGAGAACGGTACAACAAATCGTCTTCTTAATTTCTCTATTAGTTTAATAAAACGTCAAAGCTTCCGCGCTTTGCGCGGCAGGGGGAAAACTGAATTCAGACAAAAATTAAGCATATGTGAAATAAAATTTGATCATGGTCTGGGACCCGGTGCATTAAAAGATTTGATTGGCTGCTGAGTGATGTTGCCATAGTAGTTAATATTGATGGCAAAGTTACTATCAGGGCCCCATACCTCCGTCTTTTTTATGCATTCTAACCTTCTCGACCAACAGAATTTCAATTCAATCTCTTGGAAAAGTGGATTTCAATGCAACTGTATTCAATATGTTTACAGGATACATATAAGAATTGTGGAGGCATTATAAAGGAGGAAGAGCCGGTTCTAGAGATCACACCTGGTACCTTGGTGACAGTGAGGACCAGCAAGGGCACCTACAGGACCCGTCATCTGATCCTCACTCCGGGAGCATGGGCCCAAAAGGTCCTCAGACCCCTGGGTTTAGATCCACCATTGACGGTAAGAATGAGGTTGATAACATGTCAGATTTCACTCCAGACACTTGAAGTATGATCGTTGCCATTCTGAGTTCAGAAGATCTTGTGAATTTTAGCACACCTACTCTTTTCATGACATGTCTTGTCAGTATGCAGATAACATAATGCTTTGTGTTATAGCCATGTTTCCCAGGCGCGGATCCAGGGGGGCCGAGCTGAAAAAGATGAGGAGATCAGTTGCGATTAATCTCGCCAACAAAGCGTGGATCGGGGGAGGGGGCTGAAAGGCCCTTGCCTCTTCCAGCAAACCTAAATGAGAGAAAGAAAGGGAAGGGAAAGGAAAAAGAGGACCCGAAAGGGAAAGAAAGAAAGAGAAAGAAGAAAGGTAGGGGAGATCATTTGCGATTTTTCCAGTCAACAAGGTGTAGATCGGCTGTGGGGGGGGGGGGCACTAGCGTACTTATGCCCCCCCCCCCCCCAAAAAAAAAAAAAAAAAAAAAAAAATCAAACAAAGTTTATGGCTAATTCGATACCGGCGATTCATAAATGTTGCTGAATTGACATAATTTTCCGAGATATTTCGTCACCTTTTAGGAAAATATACTTTGTTATGCGTTTTTTGGAAAATGACAAATTCCTAAATTTACAGTCAGGCAAGAAATATGCTTATTCAGAGGCTTACATGTCAGGGCCCGCGGTACGTGGCGGAGCTTGGGGGCCTCGAGCCCCCCCCCCCCCCTGGACCCCACGCCAATTAGTGTCCTGCCAGTGTCACAAATAAGGTATCATAATATGCTCATCTGACCGTAATTAAATGCTTAAAACACCTGAGCTTCCGGGCGGGCCCCTGAATGCTTATCTGATTGTTATAAAATACCTCAAAATCCTGAGTTTCAGGGGGGCTCAGCCCTCTGGAGCCCACGCCAATCAGTGACGTGCCAGTGTCATGAATAAGGTGTGAAAATATGCTCATCTGACTGTTTAATTGAATGCCCAAACCCCGGCACGCCAATATACGCTACGCTCTTCATGGTCTTAAATACTTTCATAAATGCCATAACGAACTGCTACAAACGCCGTACGAACGATTTTCAGACAATGGAAATTCGGGAAGACAATGAAAAAACAGGGAGATTCGTACGAAATTATCGTTCGTACGAACCTTTGTGACCGTAGCATTAGCCTCCCCCCATCCACTTTGAAAAACGTTCAGCGGGCCTGCATGTAAAAGTGGGGTGCATGATGCGGATTTTTTTTGTCTGCCCCCCCCCCCCAAGTTTTTGCTCATTACGCCATTGCTGGTCACGTTACGTACCAATATTTGGCTCGCATAATTTCAAATTTGGGCCCCCCTTAATAAATCCTGGATCCGCGCCTGATGTTTTTTACATAGCTTGTACGCCATTTTGTCTTCTTGTGAATTATTAATAAAAATGTAAGATTTATAGAATTCTGTCTTCTGCTTACTTTTAGATCCTGCAAATACTAATCTTGCATGTATGTTATGTCTTGAAGTAGATTTCAGGAAAATGAAGATTTAACAAAATATTTTCTTTCCTGTAATTTTCATATTATTCACACTCACACACACACGCACACACACACAGACACACGAAAGATAATATTTTATGGATGTTATTTGAGTATGTATAGCAATTGCAATAACCAGGGATGAGATTCCTCCCATTTCCGGGAAAGAAAGCGAGAAAAAAAAGAGAAAAATTACACTTAGATTATCATTAAAGGTAATACAAAGTTTTGGGAAATTTTTTAAATGGGCTCAATAGTGATTCTTTACAATTTTGATATTTTTGGATGACCCTGTGGATGTATTATAAGCACTAGAAAATTTATTCCCTTAAACACTTCTGCTTTCGAGAAAATTGAATATAAAAATTTACCGGTACTCCCGGTAAATTTGGATAAATTTCAAATAGCGCTTACGGCCATACAATGGTAAGTGCGACCATGAAAATCTCAGAATATGTAGTTGTGATATGTAATTGCCAAACGGGAATAGCCAATCGGTCGATTTTAGTCCAGAACATTGTTTTATGGTTTAATCAATATTTTGACCTAGAGAGGGAGCTATACAACATGAAGAGTTCATTATTTACAATTTCATAACTTTCGACTCGATTTTAACCGCGACAACGATCACCGAATATTGTAGGATCACATATGCTTCCAATATGTTCATTTGAACCAAATTCATGACCCCATACCAAAACTTTGTATTACCTTTAATTGTACATCTTGCATTGCCCTCACTGCCTTAGCAGCATTTTTCTCTCATCTGAAAAATGTTAGAGAGTCCCTTTAATCAAGACGGGGTAACAAATATTTCTCAAATTTAGAATTTAAATGCACGGAACATGTGTCTTTTTATGAAATATATTGTCATGTTTTGCCCCCTTTTACCCCCGCTAGCTACCCCCTTAACCATTGTCTCACCCCAGAATAACTCCAACATGATTCTCTTTTTTCCATAGGTGACCCGTATTAATGTACCTTATTGGCAGGAGAAAGAAGTAGGAGCTATGAGCAAATTTCCTAATGTCATCTTTGAAACGGAAAATAAAAGCTTTGTATACGGACTGCAGGAATTAGAATACCCCGGCTTAACAAAGGTGACATAGTTTGGTTTTTTTAATTTGCTAAAGCAGTTTGAATTTTTTAATTTGCTAAAGCAGTTTGAATTTTGTATAATCTGCATTCTTCTGATTTTGTTTATACTACTGACCACACATGTCAAGTAAATTGTAAAATTATTCCATTTCATTATACGATGAGAAAATGAAACAACTAACTCCAGTTTATATTTTGCTTTGGTTTGTATTATTTCACCCCATATGAGATGAAATGAATTGATGAAAGTAGAACACACGCACAGAATGTTAATAGATGAGTGTGATTCTGAAAAATGGTTTTATAATACGTTTTTCAAAGTAGCCGTTCTCCTAAACGCAACCTTCTAAAGTGATAAAATAAACGCTGTTGTGTTTTTCCTGCACTACGCTTGAAAAAGGTGTATATGTATTTTTGTTCGGTATTCCCCTTTCAGAAAATGTTCAATCGTTCATTCACCCTGAATATAATTATTGCAAATATGTTTTTAAATAACCCCTGTATGAAACAAATCTATTCCTTCATAAAGTTTAATAACTAAGAACAAGAAGGTTTATGAGATTTTCTGCTCAAAGCACATTAAAGAGGAACTCGCATGATACGTCACAGTATTGCCAATTTGTGTTTCACTGATGACAACTTAACAAATTCATAACTTTCACAATTTCAATCAGATTATGTTCAAACTTTCACTTATTTGTTTCTTTTATTTTTCTGCTTTTTTAAAACCAACTTAAAGTAACTTACTTTCAATAGAAGCAGAAAACTCAGACAAACCAATCAAAAAAAAAATGTTAGCAAAATCGGGGAACTAATAATAAAGTTATGATTTTTTGAAAAAAGTATGTAAAACTATAGAACAATGGAAATCACTACACAAATTGCCAATTAGGTTATCAGTTTGTGACGTCATATCCTCACTATTTATCAATTGCTTTATATATAGTTTAATCCCATTAATTTCTCTTTTTATCCCCCAAAACTTGATTTCCCCAGGTTATATGATTTGTATCATATTGCGTGCATGACATTGCACAAAATCTGTTATGAACTTTCAAGAATTTATACTATTTTCTGAAAATTGTATAATTATAATTATTGATTTTTATCTAAATAGTTTATCAAATATTTATTAGTGCATCCACACAAAAACATTACTTTCAATCCAACTTGGATGCTGGTGTGAAGAAATATGATTTTGAAGGGGAAATATGAAATTAATATTATCAATATAAAGAAAACAATTATAGTGGATAGTAAGGACATGACGTCACAGACCCATGAGTGAGATTCCAATTTGTCTTGTGATTTTCATTGTTTGATATAGTTTTACATACTTTTTCAACATTTCATAACTTTCTTATTAGTTATCCGATTTTGCTCAAACTTTTTTTAATTGGTTTGTAAGATTTGTCTACTTGTATTGAAAGTAAGTTATTTTTGGAGTAGACTTGGCCTTTAACTTCCCCTTTAACTTATTTCCACAGATTCCATTTAATGGTGGCGCTGATACGGTTGACCCAGACTACAGAGATACCGTACACAACGAAGCCGTTGGACACAAAAGTGAGATTGAATTCATGAAGAAGTTCATCGCTAGATACTTTCCCCTGTTGCTGAGTGAGCCAAGTATCATGGAAACCTGCATGTACACGGTACAGTCATTAAATCAATCTTGAGCTATGGTAAATGAGCTGTGTTTTGAAAAGAAACGAGCTTAAAGGTAATACAAAGTTTTGGTATGGGGTCATGAAGTTGGTTCAAATGAACATATTGGAAGCAAATGCGATCCTACAATATTCAGTGATCGTTGTCGCGGTTGAAATAGAGTCTAAAGTTATGAAATTTTGAATAATAAACTCTTTATGTTGTATAGCTCCCTCTTAAGGTCAAGATATTAATTTAGCTGTAAAACAATATTTCTTGACTAAAATCGACCAACAAGCTCTTCCCGTTTTGAAATTATATATCACAACTACATATTCTGAAATTTTCATGGTCGCAGCTACCATTGTCGGCCGTAGGTGCTATTCGAAATTTATCAAAATTTACCAGGAGCACCGGTAAATTTTTATATTCAATTTTTCTCGAAAGCAGAAGTGTTTTAGGGGCTAAATTTAATAGTGCTTATATTACATCCACAGGGGCATCCAAATATATCAAAGTTGAAAAGAATCACTATCCACCCAATTTTCAAAATTTCCCAAAACTTTGTAATACCTTTAAAGACCCTATATCGGAAGTGAAAATTGAAATAGATGAATTATATATATTATATATCAACAGAAAGCTTAAAAACCATAGATTACAATAATAACAATTATATGCGACATTTATTTCAATGTCTGTCAGAGGAGTAACTAACAGCTCTCTGAAGACTCAAAATATAAACCTTTGAAAATCAGAAGTTGTCGTCCCAAGTACTAGATATAGATGACATCATCTTATGTGGAGTACACATATTCACAATGACTGTGCATTAATTAGGTACGGGTCATCGCGTCAACTCTGTAGGTGAGCCGATTGGGTCCACACGTTATGTCAGAGCAAACAAATTGATCTCTGTTGACCCTTAATTTAGAGCGGTGCGGAAAATGAGGTTTTTTAATTTTGCTTTTGTGCAATACTGAAATGGAAAATACTTGTTATTCCTTTGTATTTATATTCTACAATCATTCAGCATTCCATTGATGTAAATTGAATCTCTGCTTTCTCTTTCCAGACGACTCCAGATATGGAGTTGATTATGGACAGACATCCGGTCTATCCTAACATCATTGTGTGCTGCGGATGCTCAGGTAAATATCTAACGTCTTTGCTCTCATGATTGGTCAGAAATCCTGATCACGCACAAATCATCTGCCAATCAGGATTAAGGTATTAATTATGTTTAAATATTTAATAGGTTGTTCATGATTGGCTTAATAATTCGACCAATTCACACTTGATCAGGATAATTCTTAATCATCAAAAGAGCCTAGCTGTCTTCGTCCACATTGTTGATTGCAAATATCTTGCATAAAAATGAAAGTAGAAGATTAAAGCTATGAACAAAGGAGGAAAAAAATCTCTATGCACAATGTTTTTTGGGGTAAATGACTGACTGTTTTCTCTTCTCTGTAGGACATTGCTTTAAGCTGGCACCTTATTACAGATGTTCTATCCAGCATTTTTGTTTTTCTGGTAAATGACATGACTGTTTCTCTTCTCTGTAGGACATGGATTTAAGCTGGCACCCTCGATTGGCAAGATCCTGTGCAGAATGGCGATGGGTAAAGAGCCTCATATCGACATCACAGCACTGAGTTTCAAGAGATTCAGCAACTCCTGTCTCATCAACAAACCAAAGTTATAGCTCCCTCTCCTTGTGCAGACCACAAGCAATATGGCTCATCAACAAATCAAAGTTATAGCTCCCTCTCATTGTGCAGACCACAAGCAATATGGCTCATCAACAAATCAAAGTTATAGCTCCCTCTCATTGTGCAGACCACAATCAATATGACTCATCAACAAATCAAAGTTATAGCTCCCTCTCCTTGTGCAGACTACAAGCAATATGGCTCATCAACAAATCAAAGTTATAGCTCCCTCTCATTGTGCAGACCACAACTAATATGGCTCATCAACAAATCAAAGTTATAGCTCCCTCTCATTGTGCAGACCACAAGCAATATGGATATCATCAAATCAAAGTTATAGCTCCCTCTCATTGTGAGACCACAATCAATATGGCTCATCAACAAATCAAAGTTATAGCTCCCTCTCATTTGTGCAGACCACAAGCAATATGGCTCACCAACAAATCAAAGTTATAGCTCCCTCTCATTGCGCCGACCACAAGCAATATGGCTCATCAACAAATCAAAGTTATAGCTCCCTCTCATTGTGCAGACCACAAGCAATATAGCTCACCAACAAATCAAAGTTATAGCTCCCTCTCATTGTGCAGACCACAATCAATATGGCTCATCAACAAATCAAAGTTATAGCTCCCTCTCATTTGTGCAGACCACAAGCAATATGGCTCACCAACAAATCAAAGTTATAGCTCCCTCTCATTGCGCCGACCACAAGCAATATGGCTCATCAACAAATCAAAGTTATAGCTCCCTCTCATTGTGCAGACCACAAGCAATATAGCTCACCAACAAATCAAAGTTATAGCTCCCTCTCATTGTGCAGACCACAATCAATATGGCTCATCAACAAATCAAAGTTATAGCTCCCTGTCATTTGTGCAGACCACAATCAATATGGCTCATCAACAAATCAAAGTTATAGCTCCCTGTCATTTGTGCAGACCACAAGCAATATGGCTCATCAACAAATCAAAGTTATAGCTCCCTCTCATTGTGCAGACCACAAGCAATATACTACTGCAATAGACTACACATAGTGGGTCATCATTTAGGATGGCAGGCATAGTGTTTTACTTTTTATTTTAAACTTCTGTCATTGTTTCACACATGCGTATATATACATATGTACAGATATATATAACATTAAATTTGTATAATTAAATTTTGGTACTTATTTCTGTTTCTTGAGTGGATTAAATTACTGACTTCTATTTTAGGGTTAAAATGCAGTCTGGACAAAGACAGGAAAAAATATTGTTACTTGAACATTTAGCTTTATTCAAGTTCATACAGAGTGGGTCATTTACAATATATAAAATTACATAGAAAAACATTAAAAATTCAACAATAAAAACTAGGCCCTTATTCATAAAACCTGTTATCAGGAACAAATGCTAAATTTCTCTGACATACCAGTAGTTGCTCTCAGCCAATCAAATGTCATGATTTCAGTAGCTTGTAACAGTTATTGTAACTTGTTATTGTAACTCGTTATTGAAAATCAGATGAGACACAGACATATATCTACATTACTTATAATATATGACAGTAAAAATTGTTAAAAAGGCAGGCCATGAATTGCACAAAAGTATTTTTAACACTTGATGTTTCCATAATTAAAAGACAAGTAAACCTACACCTGTATATGGCCATTAAAAATACCAAGAGCTGGGATAGTGTATCTTAGACAGAAACTGCATGCACAGTTGTACTTGCCAATCAGATAAGCTGGCATAGGTTCTTATGCACCCCACATTTCACAAGGGGTACCACATTGTACCCACTTGGTCTATTGCTCATTTAGTCTTATTCCCAGTCAGTCTAATGCCCATTTTGTCTGCTATCTATATGGTCTAATCCTAATAATCATGTTCAGTAATCATAAATAATAATCATTAAATGATTATAAGACCTTATGGATAGTAAAATAAAGGGGCATTAGATTTGATGATTATTTGACTACTAAATGAACAATAGACAAAGTGGGTAGTAGCCTAATTGGAGATTAGACCAAATAGCAATTAGCCTAAATGGTCATTAGACCAAATGATAATAAGACAAAATGATTATTAGTCCAAATGGATGTTAGACAGGCTGGGTGTAGACCAAAATGCAATGCACAGGTAGGGATACCCTTGGCTAGGTTACACATTGCTGCATGTGGAGAAAAAAAAAATCATTCCATCTGTTGAGAATCATAGCATTAATCTGCATGCAAAGTAACATGCTATAAGTAGAAATGTTTTGCAGTGAAATATAATACTTTGCATAGATCTAAGTTTGGAACAACTCACAACAGAATTGGCCTGGAGCCCTGGACACAACGATAGCTCAGTAAAAACAACAAAAGACATTTGTTTAACATTAAAATATTGCCTTAGTAGCAATTTTACATACCGGTATGAATGAATAATGGCGTCATAAACTGTTCAAACACACAGGCCCGAATTCACAAAGGAGGTTTGTCAACAAACCTTGGTTTTCGTACGTCATATGACGCGTTTTACGCGTTTTTTACAAACCTGGTTTGTAAAGAACAAAAGGAGGTTTGGCGAAACAAAAGGAGGTTTGAGCTCAAACCTTGCTTTGTGAATTCGGGCCACAAAGTCACAATTTTTGCTTCGTAAAATAATACTTTTTAAAAACGAAGGCTAGTAATTGTGTAATATCTTGAGCGTTTATTGCTACTTTTATCTCTTCGGCTGCAATATAATGGAAGAAAAATCTCTCAAACCAAAGGACACTACACTAAGGCGACTCTACCTCACAAGCACTGTATGTGTTTGATCAAGTCCAAAATTTTGATGATAATTGTGAAGCAAACAAAAGATTACTGCATCATACAACAACAAATATTTTTGAGCTTCATTTCTTCTCAAACGTGAGCATCATTGTGCACTCAATGCCCAAAGCAAGTCCATTTCAAAGAAGGAAACAAACCATGATGTACTTCACCGCTTTCACTGTCCATTCCCAGCTCTCGCTTCTCTGAACTTTGCCAGGAGTCCATCGTTCTCTCGGAGGACATACGCAAGAGGTTTCCTCTGGTAATAATCAGGCATCAGCTCAATGTTCTCTATGACCGAGGATAAGAGATGGGCGCGGTCGACGTTGGTACCGGGAGCATTAAACTTGAGATGGGTGAAATGTACATGGAGGTGGTAGTAGGAGGGCTGGTAGTGTAGGTATGCTCTGAGCTCGTCAGCTGGTATGCTGTACTTCTCTTGGATACATTTCTGAAAAGTGAATAATTCAGAGGAAAATTGATGCTCTACCATATACATGTATATAGTGTGTGGGGACATTGTAGTTTTAATAAAATTCAAACGGAAAAAAAATCACATCAGATACACTGTCTTGAAAATAAGTAGTGCTCAATACGTATATGTTGTGCTATAGCACTAAAAAATTACAAGGTTACAACATTATTTTCCAAAATGATTATGTTATTTGAATTTTCCGTTTAGCAATGTCCATGAAGTAAAATGTCCAAAGTCCATTTCCCCTTAATGTTATTCTTAACCTGATGCCTACAGGAACTGTAGGTCTCTAGTTTTATACCTATGGTAGGTTAAAGATAAAGACCAGTTATGGTCATGCGATTGCATTGCGAAAGAAACGTTGTGGAATCGATCAGAAAAGGTTGATCATCTAGCATATAAGTATTGGTGTGTACTGCAAGGGTCTGGAATCATCAAAATGATAAGAAATTTGGCCCAGTCTTGATAAAGTTACAAGCACTGCACTGTACACAGAAAGATGTATATGGGACTACCCCCACACGTGCGCGACACATGCGTTATATCTATCAGGTCCAAATAGATATAATAATTTACCAAATATATCAATTAGTAGGCGGTTTCTCGGCAAAATTTGTATGATCACGTATTAGTCGAAACATATTCTTTCACATGATTGGTTATAATCTAGAGCTTCCATTTCATTTTTTGAGAGGGGGGCGTTTCCAAAACTGGTCTTTACCTTTAACAAAAGAATTGGAAGTCAATACTATTACATGGACACATGTTAAATGGGAATTTGTGAGCACTGAAAATCATTACTCATCACTTGATGCAATTAATTACAGTACAACTACACACTAACATATGCTCCAAAATAAATGCATAATAGTAGACTGAATTCTAAACATATACCCTTATAATACCCAAGGCACTACAATTTTTTTTTTTTGAAAGGGGGTCCGGATTTAAGTTATTACAGTCTCTATGCATGAGCCCCATGTAAAATATTCCAAATTTTGGGGGTTTGTACTCGTATACATGTATTAGTGTCGTGCCCTGTTAAGTTCAAATAACTTTCCCAAATAGGGATACTTTAAACTGAAACAAGAATTATATAGGTATGTAAAGCTCGATATATATATTTATATATAAGAGAGAGAGAGAGAGAGTTATATAGCTGTCTAGACGAAGACAAAGAAAAAATATATAATTACAATTATATTATATGAGGTAAAGCTTAAAATACAAAACAAAACATAAAAGGAAAATATGTGAGTATTAAAAGCTCATGACAAACGCAGATCATGAAAATCTTTATTTTTCAAAATAAGAAAAAAATCTTTGCACAGTGCAGAGCTATGTGACCCGCCAGGATAACTTTTCCCTGCTTAGCGTAGCTTCAAACACAAAACTAAAGGCAAGTCTCACCAAACACTTTTCCTGGATGTTACGTAGCAGCGGAAGATGAGAAGTACTGAGATCACGTAGACTCTTGATACCTCGCTGATGGATGATGACGATGAGATAGAGATTGCTGGTCTGTTTCTCATCCCATTTCATGTCTGGTAACATCACAAAGCCCGTCTCAGGATCGGGATCTTCAGAGACGATACGCTCGGATTCGGCTTTCTTCTCCAAGATATTGTACACCCACTAAAGAAACATTAATGTGAACAATAATATTTTTTTAATATGAAGTTAGTATGTGCGACAGCTTTTGAAGATTCGATTAAGATCTACATCTTCCTAAGAATTACTAATAATTAGATTTGTAAAGCATTTTGTCTCAAGGATACAAAATGCTGAATACTATCAACGCCCCAGTTTTAAGCCTAGCTACCCTGATGAATGCTCAACAAGCATTCAAAAAAGATGTCTTCGTAGGGGTACACATTTACTTCACCTGAGTGGAGAGTGGCAAATGTACTTTAATGTCTTGCCCAAACATGTCAGTGCCTACTGCCTAGATATACAATATTTGTTAAGGTTTCTCAAATGTTTGTTACCTGAAAATTTAACTGCTTTTCCTCAATACATATTTATAAGGATGTTTAAGTACTTAGATAGACATCATTTGTTAAGGCTTCTCAAATGTTTCTTACCTGAAAATTTAACTGCTTTTCCTCCATATATATTTATAAGGATGGTTAAGTACTTAGATCTATCATTTGCCAAGGCTTCTCAAATGTTTCTTACCTGAATATGGAACTGCTTTTCCTCAATATATATTTATAAGGATGTTTAAGTACTCGGATCTATCATTTGCCAAGGCTTCTCAAATGTTTCTTACCTGAATATGGAACTGCTTTTCCTCAATATATATTTATAAGGATATTTAAGTACTTTGATCTAACATTTGTCAAGGCTTCTCAAATTTTTCTTACCTGAAAAATAAACTGCTTTTCCTCAATATATATTTATAGGGATGTTTAAGTACTCGGATCTATCATTTGTTAAGGCTTCTCAAATGTTTCTTACCTGAATATTGAACTGTTTTTCCTTAACATATTCATAACGATGTTTAAGTACTTAGATAGACATCATTTGCCAAGTCTTCTCAAATGTTTCTTACCTGAATATTGAACTGCTTTTCCTCAATATATATTTACAAGGATGTTTAAGTACTGAGAGAGAGACATCATTTGTCTAGGCTTCTCAAATTTGTCTTACCCGAAAAATTAACTGATTTTCCTCAATATATATTTATAAGGATGTTTAAGTACTTAGATAGACATCATTTGTCTAGGCTTCTCAAATGTTTCTTACCTGAATATTGAACTGCTTTTCCTCAATATATGGCAGTGTGATGTTCTTGTAGTCCTGGTAGGATTCATTGATGAGATGCACATCCTGAGCAGAGTATTTCTGGATGTGTTTCTCAGTAGCAGGATAGATCAAGGTTGTTTTTATTCCTGTTTACAAATAGAGCAAACAAATACCAATGTTAATTGTTTTGATCATTGATATTTCACAAGGTTTGGATGAATCTAAATTTATGATGTGTCCTTTAATATCAATACACTGAAAGATACCCAATGCATATCTATTTGCAATGTTCACTTGCTTCACAAAACAAATAGTATTCTTGTTTTTTTTTTAATTATCAAACTCACCATCTCTCACCTATGGACTACAGAAGCTACTGTACATGTAGGTACAGTATTTAAATGTTAAAAGTAATACAAAGTTTTCAACAGGGTTTGGTTATTAAATTCAAAATTTGTATTACCATTGTGAAACCTAGTGTTAGAATAAGCAAAAACGTTGGGCTCTAAAATGCTAAGGATTTCGATAAATTAAAATATAAAATTTATTGGTGCTCCCCATAAATTTCAAATAGCGCCTTTTAAATTTCTACGGCCATACAAATTAAAACGGTAGCTGCGACCATTTAAATCTCGGAATATGCAGTTCTGATATATAATTTCCAAACAGGAATAGAAAAGGGTCATTCCATGTCAAATCACCCAATGGTTTTAACCCGACCATTTTTGATTTTGATGAAACTTAGTGTACTTGGTGAGTGTGATCTCACAGCACCAAATCCCAAATTTTAGGTCAATCGGATGAGGGGTTTGGGAGATACGGCCCACCAAATTTTGAGATTTTTTAAAAAATGGGGGTGGCGGGCCTATCTTTGAACCCTTGTATCTCGGGACCTAATGGGTCAATCTTCACAAAATTTGTAATGTTGGAAAGGTTATTCAATAAGGATTCCAAATCTGCTGCCATTTTTAAGATTCGTACATGTTGGGGTACTTTGACCTCTTGACCTAAGATTTGACCTTGAAATTGACCTTGTGGATCACGTGACCTTGACAACATTTTTCATGAAATGTAATCTCTGACATGTTCACTAAAACATATAAAAGTTTCAGAGATATAATATTTTTTGTTTAGGAGCAATAAGGATTGAAAGTATTCATACTTACAGATATTCACAATAAACCCTATTATAATGTACATGTATACAATACTGTACATGCAATATGCACTGTACAACATACATCTTCCACATACCTTTTCTCAGCCAGTTTTTATTCTAGAGTCTCAGAAATACTCGTTATATAATTGATTTGACATTGAAAATATAATTTGGAAGAAGTAATTAGAGAGGGAATAATAATGCACATAGGCCCCAAAGGTATGATGGTATCCTAAGAAAAGACTATGGATCGACTATGGACAACGGTGTGTAACATTCTTATCTCTTTTATCTACCGTATATGTTATAGTTTAACGATTTGTGATTTAATGTTTATATTCAGCTTTTTAAAGTTTCTGTATAATTTGTATTATCACTTCTTTACATTTGCATTTCGCATCCCAGAATATTACGTACCGAACTCGTCTATATTTTTCTCAAAATGATAGTGAAACTAATCGTACATTTCGTGGCCCATTGAATAGCAACAAACTGACTTGTGATGGCGCTTTACAGCAATTAAAAAGATATGACGGGTTCGGAGCAGTGACAACTCATTGTCGCGGAAGTTGTCGCTCATCTTGGCAAAGACGGCTTCGTGAAACACTTAGCTGACAAGTTGCGTGACAGTGGCGAGATGTCGTTGATCTTGTAGTTATGACGGTTTCGAGAAACGGCTCCCCGGTGTTTCCAGTTGAGATTTCGTTGGAGACTTGGTGGATGACTCCAAGTCCAAGGTACTTTGCTTCGTCAAGAGTGCGGAGGGTCATCCCATGGATGGAATAAGGGGATGCTCCGATAATGGGTTTTCTCTTGTTTGAAATCCTCAGCACCTCACATTTGTCCTTCATGAAACAATGTCAATGAATTATAAAGCAAGCAATTACTGAATTAGACCTCTAGTCTACTAACTTAGCTTAGTAGTACTAGACCTAGATCTACTTACCAGACAGTTCCTTGGGTGGGAAGCATTCATACACACCGTAAATATCATTCTGCATTGAACGATTGAGAACAGATTTATCTGACATCAAAGTAGGTAACAAGTCTTCTGTAAATGCAGTCTTCTCTAGCAATACAACGGCCTGGTCATTTCCGCTGCTCTGTGGGTCTGCATCGTCACACGCTACCCCGCCTTCCGGCGTACCGCTACTCGCGTCTCCTGCTGACCCCGGTGAAGATTCGCTGTACAAATTTCCCAGTAAGAAAACCGATTTAGATGACAAGTTCTGGTTCAAAATTCTCTTGATTTTGAATCCTTTGAAATTCCGCAATGCATCACATTCAATTTTCTCTTCCGACTCCGAGGTCTTTTGCCTTTTTGGTGGGTTTTCAGCCATCGTTCTTGCGTTAACTATGGGAGGCTATGTACCGTGTAATGATTAGGCCCAATAATGATATTGCATGATGGTGCGCTGTACTAGTGAACCACTGACCTCTGGTACGAACAAAGATCCACGTGTTGAATGTTTGTATACAAAAGCTAGGCGCGCGCAATTTAGCGCCATCTCTGATCCCTGTGCATAGTAAACGTTGAAGAACTACAACGCTCGATTTATCATCGTCACGTCAAACCTACCTTTGCTCTCCGTCTGCGCTGCCAAAGGTGTGGAACATGACTTGGATTTACAATTGAAGTCCAAAGTGTTTTGGCTACGCTACGTTACGTTTATTTCGCCTCTACCTCTGCTCTGTAGAGAGAGTCCTCTCAAGTCTCATTTTCAGGCCTAGCTGACTCAGCTCGTGAACTCCGCCCCCTCTCCAAGAATGATGGCATCTTCATCGGAGCAGTTTCCCGACATTCACGGTGTAAATGCCGTACATGATGTAGTGATTGTGGGGGCTGGTATTCAAGGTTCTGCTACAGCATATCACTGTGTGAAGCAGGGGTTAAAAACTGTGCTCCTAGAACAAGTATGTTGCATTGAACTTTGCTTTTAACTCTGTAGCCTAATTAATTTTACTTTTTTTAGCTTTATAGTTTTCATTCAATGAAACTCCTGCCTCTTTGTTTATTATGTTAACAATCAGGACATGAAACCTGAACTACTCTCGATCTAGAACTATAGATCTAGAAATCTACTATCTAATTGTTTTCTTGACCTAAAAGTAAAAGTATAATGCCTCGTTACAAGTCGCTTACCTTGGTTCTTTGCATTAATTCAAAAGGTTATCTTTTACAAGAGATAATTTTTAAATGGTCAACAGCTTTAACCTTTCTTCTTTTTTATGTCCTGCTTTAATCTTTCTCTTTCTCTCTCTCTCTCTCTCTCTCTCTCTCTCTCTCTTTTCTTTCATTCATTCTTCATCTTTCTAATTCTGTAACCATGCTGTCTTTTCCTTTGCATGTATCTCCCTTTCCACTCTTTTTCCTCCACCCGGCACCCCTCCACCCGGCACCCCTCCATCTCCCCCGCTCTCTTTCTCGCTCTCCTTACTCAGTAACTTTCTCTCTTTCTCTCTCTCTCTTTTTTTATTCTCTTCATTGTATGTCTGCGTGCGTGCATGCGTGTGAGGGTGTGTCTGTTTGTCTAGTATGCCTTCAGGTGATTGATGTGCAAATATTGTTTTTCTTGAATTCATGTGTTTAACTTATTGTAATGTTGTTAAACATCCATGTACATGTACTATATTATTATCGATTTTCATTTTTTGAAACTTGGACCTTGTCCCCAAGCACTTTGCCTAATTTTAAGGGTATCCCAAGTTCCCAACCCTGTTATGCATGAACATGTACAGTGAAATCTGTCTATAAAGACCAACTGAGGGAGACAAGAAAAGTGGTCTTTGTAGGCAGGTACCTTAGTACATGTGTCAATGAGAAAACATTTTCAAGGGAAACAAAAAATGTGGTCTTTGTAGACAGGTGGTCACTAAAGCAGGTTTGACTGTCTTTTGCCCTAAATGAATTAAATTGAAATTTAATGACACTATAGCAGCGTGTCCACACACAAAACAAACTATCCCGAAACTCTGTAAAGAAACGTTGTATAAAGAATCGTCAATCGTTGTATAGCGAACAGGGTATCCACTCACAAGAAACGTTGTATAAAGAATCATCCTGTAGCGAACAGGGCGTCCACACACAAGAATTGTTGTATAAAGAATCATCGTAAAGTGAACAGGGCGTCCGCACTCCACACACAAGAACAAGTGATCTCGAAACTCTGCAGCGAAATATCGTATAGGTGCGCAGTTTACTACTGCGCCGCACCGCGGTCATGAAACGGAAGCAGAAATGAGAGGTCAGGTCTCCTTTCGTGGTCAATCACTCAAAACATTCTGTGATTCTTTATCGAGTTCTAGTTCGAAATGATGCCCAGATCCGCATTTCCTTATATGACGTTTCTTTATACGACGTATCGTTAATTTCATCGTAAGGCTATCTTGAAACGGTATAGCTATATAATGAATTGTTTGTGTGTGGACACAGGGTTAGTCTCTCACAGGTCCATAGGATATCATTTGGCAGAATAGTTTCCAGCAGGAAAGACATGATTGTAAATTTCTACCAGTACTAAATTTCCGGTAAAGGTCCAGCCTGATCTCCCTAGTTGGTATGACAGCTACATGTTGTACACCAACATCAAGGTGGACTGTACTTAATTGGAAGAAGAATAATAATAATAGCCTAATAGTCCACTCCAAATTTTATTAAACCGAAACGGAAATTCTTTTTGCCCAATCGATCGTGAGCCCGGCAGCCACTGAGCAGCGCCAAATCGACATTGCTCTATCCCTTATTGTTGAACGCCAAACAAGGTAGCAACAACTCCCATCTTTTAACGTCTTTTGGTATTAGGGGAAGTCCTTTAGAATTAATCAATGTTTATGATAACTTTTAGAATATATTATTCATTGATTCTTTAATGGTCGCAATTTTCCCCCAAAAATGTCAGATTTGTATAAAGGTTTTCATTTGTAGGATTTTATTCTTGTTAACCTTTATGGCTGACTGGAAGTTGACTATAGACCTGGGTGTTTGTCCAAAGTCCTTCCTGATTCTAGTTACATCCAGGGGTTTATTTGTTCAGTGTCTATGGCCTATGGGATATATATGGCCCATGCCTGTACAATTTTGTACATGTATCAAAATCAAGGTTCAAGGTTCAGTGGATCACACATATAGTTAACAACTAAATAATTCATGCCCTTACCAAGTTTTGTATTTTGTTAAGTATGTGAAGAAAAAATTGCCCCCATTAATGTATCAAACAGAGTTGGCAAAAGACTTAACTCCGTTTTGTTGACGACCAGCCATGCATCAAGTCTTTCGTCTTCTTTGTGCATGGCTGATTGTCAACGAAACGGAATTACAATAAGTCTTTTGTCAAACGAATTTGTTTCATCAGATTATGGAAATGCAAGCATTACTTTAAAAAAAAAAAGAACTTTGTTATTCTTGGCTCATTTTCCTGATTGAGGTGTCATATGAAAGGGCAGAAAATGAACTTTCTAGAAATGTGATTTTCTCTTTGAAATTAATTTTTAGTTTCCTCTCTTTAAATTGTTTTTAATCACTCATGCGTGAAATATGCATCATATGAGTTACATCACATGAAAGAAGAGGATCTAAGCTTTCCAAATATGTGTAATTGATTAATTATAATTTTGCTTACCGTAAGTTATGATAAAACATTGATAGTTCTCGGTTTTGTTTTTTCCGGGACGCACTGTATAGAGGCCCAAGAGGAGAGTGCAGAAAGGGGTTGTATCATTGTCACTTGCTTTTCTTTGCCTTCTTTGTTACCATCATTCAATCACGCCTACATGTACATGTATATAGACTCCAACTGGCCTGGCTATACAGCTGGCTCATTCTTTTTATCTAGATTCAATTTAATTCATATCAACTTACGAGTTAACACTAGGAAATGTGGATTTTTATAGGGCTTACATAGAACTTTTAACAAGGTTTTAGAAGTCTACTCATAATAATGATCGAGTCAAAATGTACTCACAAGTAATTTTGCTTGAACAAAGTTGCTCAGTAGTTTTTGTCTCGCCTGCGTAGCAATAAAGCGAGACATAGGCGCCGCTTTTCCGGTGACGGCGGTGGTGGCGGCAACATAAAAACTAAGCTAAGGTTAAGTTTTTGAATTGTTGATATAATTTTGAAAGTATAAGTTCTTAGTCAATGAAACTTGGACTATAGGGTTATCAAGTATCCCCAATCATATGAGTAGAATTTCAGGTCACAAAGTCAAGGTCTAAGGTCATTTCAGGTCAACAGACTTGGACTATGTTGTGACATCATCATCGAAAACTTAACCTAAGGTTAAATTTTTGAATTTTTGATATTATTTTGAAAGTTTAAGTTCCTAGTCAATGAAACTTGGACTATAGGGTTATCAAGTATTCCCAATCATGTGAGTAGTATCTCAGGTCACTGAGTTAAGGTCAAAGGTCATTTTAGGTCAACAAACTTAGACTTTGTTGTGGCATCAACATCAAGATTTTAAATTTGTTAGCATATTTTCAAAATTGATTGTTCAAATTCCATGAAACTTGTACCCAAGGGTTATCAAGTATCACAAATCATATGACACAAATTCCAGGTCACAAGGTCCAAGGTCAGTAGTTGTGGATTACATGTATGTTTTCACAACTTAATATGAGAATTAATTTAAAAATGGATTAATTTGTACATATTTCATTCAAGTTATCGATCGTAGTACATTTAATAGTAAATAATTCTTCTGATGATTCTTAGTCAATATTCACATCAAAATGTGATTATATTTAGAGGATTTCATTTTTTGGGGCCTGCTAATGGGCCACCCTGCCTATGAATAATGTTCCAACCTCAAATTTTCATCATATCAAATTGCGTAATGCAGACGAGACCGCCGAGAGCGTTTCCCTTGTTTTAACAACACACCAGCTTAAAGCTCCTGCCAAGTGCCATTGCCATTGTATTGTATTTTTATCTTTCTTGTATCATTTGGTTCTGTTTAAACCTCATTTCCAGGGCAGTACTCAACTTTTCTTGTCGTTCAGTCTGCCTTATTCCTGGGGCAGTTCTCTGGTCAGTAAAGAATCATCCGCTACTCTTATTCTTTCTTGTTTCATTTGTAGTTCAGTCTGCCTCATTCCTGGCCGGTTCTCATGGCCGGTTCTCATGGCCGGTTCTCATGGCCAGTCAAGAATCATCTGCTAATAAGTCTGCCTCATTCCCGGGGCAGTTCTCATGGCCAGTCAAGAATCATCCAATACTTTTATTCTTTCTTGTATCATTTAGTTCAGTCTACCTCATTCCCGGGGCAGTTCTCATGGCCAGTCAAGAATCATCCGCTACTCTTACGATCAAACGCACTACTCCCAGATGATGAGTGAAGCTTACCCAATGTGGAAAGAGTTGGAGAAAGAAACTAGTACACCGCTTTACAAGTAAAGTTTAGCTTGTTATTGGTAAACTAATGACTGTCAGAGTTATTAGATTATTAACAGAGGAATAATCAACCTTTTAAGATGTTTAACACTTTAAACCATCTGCATACCGAGTAATATGATTTGAAAGAATTGCATTAGTAGACTCATATTAAAGGATATGAAATTAGGAGAATCATAAGTATTTAAGGAGTCCAAATTAATTTTATGGATTCTGTTTTTTTTTAGATACTGGTAAGGCAAATTCTTGAACTGAATTAATTGATTCCAAATCTTTCTTACTGATCTATTTGCATTGTATCTGATTTTGAAAATAACAGGAGGCGCAATGGTTCAGTGGTAGAGAGTATTCGCGTTACAGGGGAGGTCCCGGGTTTGAAATCAAATCGATGCGCTCGTCCCCTTTGGTAAGGCATTAATCCTCATTACCGATTCCCTCGGAGTGGACTTAAAGCCGTATGTCCCTTGGTTAATGCTTACTTACGAGCATACATGCTTTCTTAGCAGTCAGTTAAAACAACAAACAAAATAACTAAACCAAAGATAAAACTTTTGCTGGGAGTCGGAACGTCATTAAATCTATGTTAATAGTTTTTCTGGCTACCAGTAGAAGAAATATTATTTATTAATTCATTATTCAATTGTCTTTTATCTTTAACAACAGGAAGACTGGTCTTTTGACCATCTCACTTCCACCAAATAAAGGACTCTACGAGAGTTCCTTGAATCAGATGAGAAAGTTTGAAAGACCACACAGGATTCTGGACCACGAGGCCAGGAAGAAAGAATACCCGCAGTTAGATATTCCCAAAGATGCCCTGGTCTTTATGGATTATGACGGAGGTACGCTGAGAGCAGACAAGGCTCTACGTGCATACCAGGTAAATTGTGATGACAACGGCAGATGGTTCCACTTACCATCCTGAAGCAGTGTTCATACCTACCCCGGTATAGTGCAGTAACCTGCCCTTGACAACTACAGCAGCAAATCAGTAGGGTGCAGTTCTTTCCCTAGCTGTGTGGTATAATTCACAGATATTTCATTTAGTCATATATATGAAGCCTGCAAAAGGACTACACCTCCTTTGATTGCAGTACTATTGGTGAAGGCTGCCTATTCGAGGATCTTCTAGATAGGCAGTACAGGGCAAAATGAAAACAATTTTCTTAAAAAGCAAATTTAATGCCTGAAAAGGGAAAATTAGATGTGAGTTATCTGAAAGACTGGGACAAAAATGATTTAACCCTTATAGCTTACGGTAGTTTTCTCCTTCCCAACGCTTACTCGTGTCTCTGTATAGTCTACCACAGAAAGACTTTACAATGGAGTGTTAATGTATGCGCTCATGCAGGCCCGGCCTCGGGGCAAGGTCAGTTCTCTAAACACTATTTAAAGGCCCACTGCACTACTTGTAGCTACTTGCGCCCTCTATATAACAAACAATGCCTAATCGGTGACCATTGGTCCCCCATGATCCTCTTTTTCTTATGTTAACTGAGAGCTGAGTTGATGAGATAACTACCTGTCCAGTGACCTTGCAGGGCAGTCTAATCCCTCCTGTAAACTACGGCAGATAAGCTTTAAAGGGAGAGGGTCATCAGTTTCCATGGGCAGAAGGTCATTATTCTGACATCAGACTTGTTGGAAATACCATGAATGGGTATACAAGTCTCAATCCCAAATGGCAAACCTGTAGTCCCGTCAAGAAACACCCCCCTTTTCTCTTTCATAGTCCTTTTATCGGAGTTACACCGATGAAAATACCGATAGAATTTGCCTTATGTAAACAAAGATGAACCCACCGCTTTCCTGCATGTGCCATTCATACTACCGACGAACTTCACTCGCTATAGCGAGCCCCGGCCGGCATCAAGTAGTAAGACTGGGTAGCACCAAGATAAACAAACACCCATGACCTATTTCAATTGTTAGGTACATGAACAGGCAAACATGGCAATTTTTTCATTTTTGTTTGAAATGCACCTTGAACTCTATAAAAAAAGATAGAGATAACCATCTTGCTTCAATGCTGTGAATGAAATATTCAGTTGCTTTCATTGTCTCTTGAATTATTGAAGGGAATCTTTGAAATGAAACGTTTGAACCCTAATCCCTAATTCTATTTGTTTTTCATTTTATGTTGTAACAAAATGTTCTCAAGTTCATATGAAGAGCCACATAATAAGTTTATAGACTTGACTTTGTGTACCTAACTGTCAATCCTGCCTTTCAGGTTTTTTTTTTTTTTTTTGGGGGGGGGGGGGGGGTTTGTTGAGGTGTGCAAACACTTTTTGAATTGTCATCAATTCATGAAATGAGACAATCTTTTGCATATGTTCAAATACAACTGATGTGCTACACACTGTAATTGGGATGAAGGACTACTGTATGCTTGTTCATAACCATAGACAACATCCTGAAGAAAATTATCTAAGTTAAATAAAGAGTCGCCAAAAATGAAATGACAGGTGTCACAAACGCAATGCAAAACCTATGTGAAATTTTAAAAATTATGTCTGACCTCTCTCATTTTTATGCATTCTTAACCTTCTAAACCAACAGAATTTCAATTCAATCTTTCGGCAAATTGGATTTCAATGCAACTGTATTCTATATGTTTATACAGGATACATTTAAGAATTGTGGAGGCATTCTGAAGGAGGAAGAGCAAGTTCTGAAGATCACACCTGGTACCTTGGTGACAGTGACTACCAGCAAGGGCACCTACAGGACCCGTCATCTAATCCTCACTCCGGGAGCATGGGCCCAAAAGGTCCTCAGGCCCCTGGGTTTAGATCCACCATTGACGGTATGTATTGTGGTTGATAACATGTCAGATTTCACAGACTCTTGATTTGAAGTATAATCATTGCCATTCAGAGATCAGAAGTTCTTGTGAATTTTGGCTGCTCAAAGAACTTTGTTACATTGTTTGGATAAGAAAAAAGGTGCTAAGGTAGTGACTTCAATGCTAGATGTATAATTAATGATAATCTGACATTTTGAGTGAAAACAGACCATTATTGATGATAAAAATGTGGAGCAACTGATCTGATCGATTTCTAAATTCTCCCAACTATATTATTATAATTAAATTTAAAATTTAGGTGAATGTGAATCTTCACAAAGCAGTGAATTGGCTCTATACACCATTCCAAACATTTAAGTGTTGAAAGAATTAAAAAAGGCTGTTTTATGTCTTATTTTCATGGAAAAACGGTTGGGATAATTCAAAAATGGTTGGGAGAATTTAATGTTAGGAGAGTTACCTACACATTGATGCCTTCAAGTTCAAAGAAACCATGAATATCTCTGTGGTTTTAGAATTTTTTCAGATTTTTTTTGCATGTTAGAGGGTCAGTACCGTAGAAGGAATGTAATTAGTAATATTTCATACAAAAATTATGCAGTTTTTTCATCAACCTTCACCAATGTTAACAGTTCACTTTAAAGCCTATCTGTACTAGTTTACAGGAGGGATTAGACCGCCCTGCAAGGTCACTGGACAGGTGGTTATCTCATCAACTCAGCTCTCAATAATCATAAGAAAAAGAGGATCATGGGGGACCAATGGTCACCGATTAGGCATTGTTTGTTTTATAGAGGGCGCAAGTAGCTACAAGTAGTGCAGTGGGCCTTTAAATGTACTAATATGCCATTTTATCTTCTTGTGAATTATTAATAAAATGTAAGATTTATATAATTTTGTCTTCTGCTTCCCTTTTGATCATGCAGATGATTATCTTGCATATATTTTATGTCTTGAAGTAGATTGTAGGAGAATCAAGATTCAACAAAACATTTTTCTTTCCTGTAATTTTCATTTTATTAACACACACACACACCGAAGAGAATATTATATTGGATGTAATTTGAGTATGTACTGGAAATGCAATAACTCATATCTGATTATCTTTTTTCTGTAGGTGGCCCGTATTAATGTACCTTATTGGCAGGAGAAAGAAGTAGGAGCCATGAGCAAATTTCCTAATGTCATCTTTGAGACAAAAACTAAAAAACATGTATATGGACTGCAGGAATTAGAATATCCCGGCTTAACAAAGGTGACATATTTTTGTTTTTTAATTTGCTAAATCAGTTTGAATTTGTGTATAATCTGCATTCTTCTGTTTTCTTAATACCACTAACCACACACGTGAAGGCAATTTTATGATCATCCATTGCCATATACAGTGAGAAAATGACATTGAATTACAACAAACTATGCTTGATATTTTGCTTAGGTTTGTATTTTTTTTCACCCCATATGAGATGAAATGAATTGATGAAAATAGAACACATGTACAGAATGTGTAATTCTGAAAAATGAGTAATTGTATTAAGAACCCCCTTCTTTTTCATAATGTTATAACATACCGTAATTAACGGTGTATAAACCGCCCTCGTGTATTAACCGCACCCCTCTTTTTCGCCCTAAATTTTTTTTTTTTTTTTTTTTTGCCGACTCTGTCGGCAGCAAGCCAGGTCCGTGTTAAAAAACCCACACGGGAAGGCATTTCATTTAACTGCGAGGTGCAGCTGAATGTGTGAGATCATTAATGTAAATTTAAAAAACAGTAGAGGACCTGGAATAGAACCTTGTGGTATGCCTTTTAATAGAAGAAAAATTGGAGGAATTATTATTATATACTACATATTGAGATCTATCAGAAAGATTACTTTCAAACCAAGATGACAGACAAATTTGAGTGTTGTTCTAGTTTCCGAGTGGTGAGTCAACACACCGATTACTGAGCTGGGAGACATTGCCAGGCATAGCATTTTTATGCCTCCGTTACGAAGTAGCCGGAGGCATTATGTTTTCGGGTTGTCCGTCCGTACGTCTGTACGTACGTCCCGTTCTCGTGATCGCGTTATCTGAAGAACCGATTGATGGATTCCTGCCAAACTTTGGTCATGAATGTATCTTGCAGAGCCGATGAACTGATTAGATTTTGGGTTCACGAGGTCAAAGGTCAAAGGTCACAGGGCTCATTATGTATGCAAAAACAGCTTGTGATCGCGTTATCAGAAGAACCGATTGATGGATTTCTGCCAAACTTTGGTCATGTATATATCTTGCAAAGCCAATGAACTGATTAGATTTTGGGGTCACGAGGTCAAAGGTCAAAGGTCACAGGGCTCATTATGTATGCAAAAACAGCTTGTGATCCCGTTTTCTCAAGAACCGACTGATGGATTCCTGCCAAACTTAGGTCATATATGTTACTGGCAGAGCTGATGAACTTATTAGATTTTGGGGTCATGACGACAAGGTCAAAGGTCATGTGGCTCATTATGTATGCAAAAATAGCTTGTGATTGTATTATCATTAGAACAGATTGATGGATTCTTGCCATACTTGGATCATTTATGTATCTTGCAGAGCCAATGAATTGAGTTGATTCTTGGTTCATAAGGTCAAAGGTCAGGGGCTCATTATGTATGCAAACATAGCTTGTGAACACATTCTCATTAGAACTGACAGATGGATTACTATTTAACTCAGGACATCTTGCAGAGCCAATGAACTGAGTAGATTTTAGGGTCATGAGGTCAAAGATCAAAGGGTCATATATGTATATGAGAAATTGCTTGTAATCATGATATTCTGAGAACCTTTTATTGGATTACAATTGAACTTGAATTTTAAAAAATTTCTTCTGTTTTGGTTTGTAAAATTGCTCTATGACGGAGGCATCATTTTCGACTGCGCGCAGTCAAAGTTCCATCTAGTTTTTATATAAACCGCATCCCCGACTTTGAATTTTTTTCGGCGGCAAAAAGGTGTGGTTTATACACCTTTAATTACGGTACACTTTTCAGTCTTGACTACCCACTTATAATACCCTGTTGATAAAGGGGAAGTCCACCCTGATATTAAGTTGGTTTTAATCGGAGCAGAAAAATGAGAAAAACAGAGGAGTGAAAATTTGAGCAAAACCGATTGAAGAATTTTTGAAGGTGCAATCGACCAAACACAAATTGGCAAATCCGTGATTTATATTGCAAGCTCCTTTCCCATTCGCCCTAGCTGTACGTAAAAACTTCAAGTATCTATTTTTATGCCTTTATTTATTTTGTGCATGAAAATAAAGAAATTCAATCTATATTTTCCCTTAAGAAAATTTTAATCGTGCATTCACCCTAAATATAATTATTGCAAATATTTTTGTTTATAACCCCTGTATGAAACAAATCTATTCCGTCATAAATAACTAAGAACAGGAAAGTCTTATTAAATTCTCTGCTCAAAGCACATTCATTGTAGAGGAACTCGCAGGATACGTCACTGTGCTGCCAATTTGTATTGCCCTGGTGACAACTTTAAAAATGTATAACTTTCCTATTTCTAATTGGATTTTGCTCAACTTTCACTAATCTGTTTCTCTCATTTTTCTGCTTTTATAAAAACCAATTTAATATCAGGGTGGACTTCCCCCTTTAACTTATTTCTGCAGATTCCATTTCATGGTGGCTCTGATAACATTGATCCAGACTACAGAGATACCGTACACAACGAAGCAGTTGGACACAAAAGTGAGATTGAATTCATGAAGAAGTTCATCGCTAGATACTTTCCCCTGTTGCTGAGTGAGCCGACTATAATGGAAACCTGCATGTACACGGTATGTCGGTCATTAAATTAATCTTGAGCTATATGGTAAATGAATCATGTTTGGAGAAGAAACTAGCTTAATTTAAAGACCCTGTCGGAAAAGAAAAGTGAAATAGATGAATTATATATATATATATCAACAGATAGCTTGTAAGCCATGGATTACAATAATATCCAATTATATATGCTAGTTTAGTGTCCGTCAGAGGAGTAACTGCTCTCTGAGAACTAAAAATTGAAACCTTTGAAAAATTGTAAGTTATCGACCTGATGACTTAATGACATCATCTTATGTGGAGTGCGCATATTCACAATGACTGCGCATTAATTAGGCATGTGTCGTCGCCTCAGTCATATAGGCAAGCCAATCGAGTCCACATGTTATGTCGTCACCATAACTGCAACAAATTTGAACCCTGTTGACCCGTAATTTGGAAGGGTGAGGAAAAATAGGTTTTAATTTGCTTTTGTGCAATACCAAACAGGAAAATATTTTGCACTCCTTTATATTTGTATTCTAGGTTTATTCAGCTTTCCATTGATGTAAAGTTGTATTTTCATTGGATGTTGTCTTTAGGTTGATGCAGTATATTCGTTGTTTGGACCATCAAAAAGTAATTTGTATTGAATCATTGTAAACCACAACTCTCATGTGCTTGTAGTGTGACTTGATGATAAGACAAAAAAAAAACAATTTGGTTGTCCTCGACCGCCTGCTCGTCATTTTCGGCCTGCTTTTTTTTTTTTTTTTTTGAGCAATTTTAATAGCCTAACATACCATTATATGCATTTTTCAAGGATCAAAATACGTCCCGTTGCCAGTTTGATCTTATCAGGACGCAATTCTGTATTCATTAACTTGCCATTTTTATATGTCAAAATGCTGTCATTCAAATCAGGTTCTGAGCATTCTTAAACTAATTTTAAAAGGTGCTATATTTTAAAGCCAAAAATACTTTTTGTGTTGCATGGTTTTGATATTCATTGTACATATGTTAAAAAAGATGATATTAAAAACTAATTAAACAAGTCTTTTACCATATTAAAGTGGTTTATTGACTTTGTTTGATTAAATGCTTGACATCCCAATGATTCTTAATTTTGTTTATGGAGAAAAAAAAGAGGGGAATTTCTTTTAAAAATAAGACAAACAAACAAAATCCACCCGCCCGCCCCTACTCCCGAAAAGCAATCGAGGAAAACCTAATGATTTTTTTTTTTGCCTAATGGTCTCTGCTTTCTCCCTTCAGTTGACTCCAGATGATGAATTGATCATGGACAGACATCCGGTCTATCCTAACATCATTGTGTGCTGCGGATGCTCGGGTAAATATCTAACGTCCTTGCTCTCATGATTGGTCAGCAATCCTGATCAAGCACAAAGCTTAAAGTCCTGGATTTAGCTCATGCTGCAATCATAATTATAAACCTTTATGTCAGTCAGGAATTCCATGACGTCTACAAGCTAATCGCCTTTCTGATTATCAAGATATTTTTGATTGGAATTCGAAATTTCAAATTTCAAAAAACTTTTTATAACACTACAGTCTTTTGGGGAAAATGAGTATGGTGAAACTGGTCACTCAAAGATTTTTACTTTTTTGAGGCACTTCATGATCATATTGAAGCGTAATTTTTTTCGGGCTTCAATATTACACCATATCACAGACACTGATAACATGCATCTCAGATTTGTAAAACTAGAAACATTATTAAGCAATGCCTTTAAACTATGATCAAAGGAGACCAAAATCTCTGCGCACTTTGTTTTTCTGGTAAATGACACGACTGTTTCTCTTCTCTGCAGGACATGGATTTAAGCTGGCACCTTCCATAGGTAAGATCCTGTGCAGGATGGCGATGGGTAAAGAGCCTCACATCGACATCACAGCACTGAGCTTTAAGAGATTCAGCAACTCCTGTCTCATCAACAACTCAAAGTTATAGCTTCCTCTCCTTGTGCAGACCACAAGCAATATGGCTCATCAACAAATCAAAGTTATAGCTCCCTCTCCTGTTCAGACCACAAGCAATATGTCTTATCAACAAATCAAAGTTATAGCTCCCTCTCCTGTTAGGACCACAATCAATATGTCTCGTCAACAAATCAAAGTTATAGCTCCCTCTCGTTGTGCAGACCACACACAATATATCTTGTCAACTAATCAAAGTTATAGCTCCCTCTCCTGTTTGGACCACAAGCAATATGTCTTATCAACTAATCAAAGCTATAGCTCCCTCTTGTTGTGCAGACCACACGCAATGTATTGTCTTGGATATTGAAATCGTGATATGGTTTTCATCATTACCTCATTTGCAATTAATACAATACATGCATGTCAAATTTTTATGAGAGTCTCATTGTGCAGACCACACGCAATGTATTGTCTTGGATATTGAAATCGTGATATGGTTTTCATCATTACCTCATTTGCAATTAATACAATACATGCATGTCAAATTTTTATGAGAGTCTCATTGTGCAGACCACACGCAATGTATTGTCTTGGATATTGAAATCGTGATATGGTTTTCATCATTACCTCATTTGCAATTAATACAATACATGCATGTCAAATTTTTATGAGAACCCTCTTTGTGGCCAGAAAGTAAACAAGGATGCAAATATTGTAGCCTGGCTGGCAGAAGGGCATTAGCTCGAATTTCAGGTTAAAACTGAAGCGTTAAGCAGAAGGGCGTTAGCACTAAATCGCCACAAACTGTTGGAGAAAAAAATTGTGGCCATGTTCTACTATAACATTTCCATTAGTCTTTTAGGTTTTAAACCAATTTTCGGGACGGAAAGCAGTCTAAATATAAAACAATTCGTTAAATGCAAATAATTTTGAGTCACTCACGCGCTAATGTCCTTCTGCCAGCCGGCCGATGATATACACTGCTATGTCAGTTGTGATTCAGTCATTTGGTGGCATGACACTTTTCAAAGTCTCAACCACTTTTGAAATTAGCAAACCCTTCATGCAAGTGAAAAGCGTCTGGTTTCACAGCACATTTTTCTTGAAGTCTTGAACTATGAAGCATTTTTATGATTGGAACATGGATTTTATGATATCACAAACCCACAAATTCCGAGCGGGTGAATTCATCATTTGGCTCATGAGGGGATGGAATGTACTCGTTGAAAAGTCATGAAACTGTTAATATTGGAATGTGAAAAGAAATTAGAATACATTAAACTTACAAGATACAAAGTAATTATATATAATCTATACACTGTAATGACTTTATTGTTACAAATTTTTAAATAGGTATTTGCGACAAAGCTTTTTAAAACAGGATAAAGTTTAACTAAATTTTATAGAAGTGGGTAATTGATTGGAATTTAGTATACCGGTATTTTGTGTTGAAAGTGTAAAAAGTGGATTGAAATGAATTGAATTTATTGACCCAAACCATATCCATTTCTTCTAAAATACTAATACTAGTATTTTCAGTCATTGAAATTTTGAGAGAGTGTATCCTGCCATGTGTGATTTATAAAGAGACAGTTGATATGCAAGTCAGTAAGATTCATATATCAAAGTAAATCAGCTCATGTGTTAAATGTGTGGAAAGTCATTTTCATCTGTAATACCAATATTTTCAATCATTGAAATTTTGAGAGTGCTTAGGTAATTTATGAAGACAGTTGATTGTTCAGATTCGTATAAGCAAAATCGAATTTAAAAAAATATTTGTGTCAACTTAATACCTCGGTGGCATTGTCCGAGATTTGCATCTTAATTTTTTTTTAATTGTGTGCACCTCATTGGAGAGAAGTTTGATGACGCTGGTTTTATGTATAAGTATTCAGATCACAAGTACAAGTTCACCAACATCCAATTGAAACATGTGTTGCATTGAAATACACACATTCCAATGGGTTGTCTGCGGACTTGTGCTTATGATGGTTTCGTGAAACCAGGAAGCTGTAATGAATGGAGATACCGTCTCGAAAGAATTTTCTGAGGGAAAATTATTCAAGATTAACCTGGCTTAACAAAAAGAAATGTAACCCTCTCCAGCCATCATTTCCATCAACAGCTGTCCATATCAATGCACAGTCCCTCTCTGGCATTCCAAATAGTACGAAATGTTACGCAACGCCACCTGCTTCCCTAAGTTCTCTATTCACTCGTTTGCAAAAATATGCAAGCATCGGGCTTTGAAGCCATGCGTGGCACCGACAAATTAAGTCATGTTCATGGAAGATGTATTTAGCTATAACATATAAAATGCAGAATTCACAACATTATGACCAATGCAACTTTCTATTAGTCATCAAATGCGTTTTCCGTTCTCGGATAGCTCTACTGAAGACATGGCCATTTTTACCAGCGAAATCGACCAAGGAAATCATGAGTTAGAGCGAATGAAAGATTTTCATAATCATGATTTTCTCATCTAATTATTGACATTTTCTGAAAATTTCCGAAATTTGTACATAGCTAGGAAGGTAGTCCAAAGGTTTATCTTCCTAAAGAACTAAATGAAATTGTGTTATATGTTTGCGCATTTATTGATTTAGGGCTAGAAGTTGTCAAGTTAGCACCACTATTCACCCAAAGTACGGGCCGGCAAAGCAAAAGCCGCCGTGCTCGCTGGGCTGGGCTGTGTGTGGAAAGGGAGGACTTAGTGCTACTAGGGAGCTGTAAGGTTTTGGAGGGGGATTAAGGGGATTACGGTAGGGGAAACAAAAGACGCGCGGTGCCACGGATGACTTCAAAGGGGCCTCTTGGACGGGATCTCCATTCATTACAGCTTCCTGGTGAAACACTGTCCAGATGTTTTCAACCTCAATAGACCATTTTCGTAATGTAACCAAAGTTAATGCACAAGTCTTTGTGAAGTGCCTCAATACAAATTATTTCATTCACCTGATAAGAATAATAATATTTCAATAGTCAGAATGCAAACTGCATATATCAAGTGTTGCTAGGTAGGTCAAGCCATAATGTTTGTCTAACCTGGCAACAACTAATGTATGCAGTTTGGATTCTGACTGTTGAAATACTATTATTCTTACCAGGTGAATGAAATAGTTTGTATTGAGGCACTTCACATAGAGATTATGCATTAAATTTGGTTACATTACGAAAATGGCCTATTGAATCATGAAATCAGGGAAGAACAAATTTATCAAACCAAGAAAGGTTATCGATAATGTTATTTTTGTGGTAAGGAGGAAATTCAATACCATAATTCGCGATGAGAAGCATGCCTGGTGTTAAATTCATGCAAGGAAGTACAAACATTTTTTTTTAGTTATGCCAGTCATTTGGACAGATCATTACACGGCAGTATTTCTGATTTACGCTGCCAGTATCAAAGATGAAATTGTCAAACAGTATTAATTGCATCTTTTTCTGACTTTGATTGATTCTATCAACATGATGTACTCTTAATATCAAACAAAGTCACTCATATTGTGTTATGGATTTTTTTTATTCAACACTTTGATGATTTGTAAAAGAAAGAAAAAGACTTTCCAAAGAAAGTGTTTTTGGTGTTTTATTGTTCTGTATACAAAAATGTGGGTTTTAGAATTAATTATGTATAATGAAACATTTTCAGTTTTATTTTCCAATGATCATGTATGACCCATATAAAGTATATAATGTTTTAAAATGGTAGTTTATAGAATTATATATGCCAAAAGATATGTAACATGTACGATGAACATCATTAAATATTTCAATTTGATTATTCAACATTTGCTTATTAAAATGTTCTTTATTTATTATTGCTTTAACCCTAATATGGCATCTAGTTACCAAATGCTTGATTTGAATATGAGAGAAAACTTATATGCAGGCCTACTTTTTTTAATGTCAAGTCTTTAAAAAATATGCATATTAACAATCTTTCTCACACGTTTTATTGTATCAAGTGGTGTACCGTAGTTCTAAAATGATGTTTGAGGGGGCAGGGGATTTGGCGTTTGTACATGCACTTTCTCCATGTGCCTTGCTCAAATTCATTTATGTTCAAGAAAAATGGGAGGGGGTGTTACTGTTACTATTTATTGCATTAAAACAAAATTGTGTTGGTAATTTTCTCCACGTTTATCACAAAAGAAACATATTTACTGATTGTAAAACGGAAAATAAAATACAGTACAATGCTTGATTTGATAGTCTTTATATAGTCTGCTATTTAGCAATTGCATTTCGTTTGTCTAAGAAATAATCTGCTCCAATTCTTTTATTGAACTAAATTCAGGAATTAAACGGGTACCTTTGACATTTGTTTTACACCTGAACAATGATATCCCTGATTTATCCACCGCTGGATCAGATGTAATTGTAATGTTTTTGTTATATTGTGAGGGTGACGAGCATGCACAGAATATTTGAAAGATGCGTAACAATTAAGAATGTGGGATTGGCGAAAGTGTTTTAGAATTATAAAGTTGACAAATGTACACTTTTTTGTGAAATAGGAGCTTGTGTGTATAGTATCTGAACTTCCCAGGCAACTTCCACTGCTTCTTAATCTGTGCTTCTAATTTGCTGGTTCATAATATAAATATGCTATGAAAGTCCCTTCATGCGCATATTGGAGAAAAGTACATAAGTTGCCATCGATTATCTTTGTTGCATATATATATAATTATGATTTAGATATGATTTTTATCATCCTTTGTCGAAAATTGAGAAAGACTCTACGTTTCAATCAAGAAATATGAATTTTAATTTTATTGTAGGCCCAGCAGCAGGCGCGTACGCAGGGGGGGGGGGGGGTTTGGGGGGTTAACCCCCCCCCCCCTTTGGTATTTTTATGTGTACAAACCCCCCCCCCCCAAAAAAAAACCCTAAAACCCCCCCCCCCCCCCCCCCTTTGGATTTTTTTTTATCCCCATGACTGACCTAAACCAGGTGACCTTACCCCCCCCCCCCCCCCCCAACGGAGCAAAATGTCAAATTTTCAAATTTCGAGGTCAAAAAAAATAAAATAAAGTGTCCTCTTACCCCCCCCCCCCCCCCCCCCCCCCCCCCCCCCCCCCCCCCGCTTATTCAGCGGTCGGCTGAGTCGTTGCGATTTTTTGGGGACCAAAAAAAAAAAAAAAAAAGTGTCCTCTTACCCCCCCCCCCCCCCCACTTATTCAGCGGTCGGCTGAGTCGTTGCGAAATTTTCGGCCCGATTTATAAATGTTAAAACCCCCCCCCCCCCTTCAAAAAATCCTGCGTACGCGCCTGCCCAGCAGGCCTATAGTACCCCGGATAGCATTTGCTGTTAAACTTGTTAACGCATTATGGTGCCTTCCTTCTGGCGCATTCAAAGCTATACACAGGGCCAAACGGATTCTGACGATAATGGATTTGCCAAAATTCATTTTCACTGATTTTAAAAAATGCTTTCAAAATAAAAATATATATATGCATGGGCGTTCATGAAGTAAGAACATCATCAAGATCAAGCTTGACTTTTTTTGAATAATTGTATTTTCTATGCGATACATCGTAAAGCTAGAAAATAGTGTTCAGTTCACATTATTGATTTTAAAAAAATCTGCTTTTAAACAGATGCAGATAAACAAGAGAAACAGCTGGAGCAAACAAAAACATGAGTAAAATCGGAGGTTATGAATTTTGTTAAAAGTATGACAAACTATGGAACTTAGAAAATCACTCAACACAAATTGTCAATTCGGTTATCAGTTTATGACGTCATTGCCTTATTATTCATCAATTGCTTTATATTTGTATACCATTAATTTCCCTTTTTATCCCCAAAACTTGATTTCCCCATGCCTTTGACTAGATTATATGATTTGTATCATATTGCGTGCATGAAATTTCACTATATCTTTTATGAACTTTGAATAATTGAATATTTTCTGAATAATGTATATTATTAATCATTGACTTTTATATAAATAGTTTATCAAAATTCAAATTTGTCATGATTAACTGGAAAAAAAATCACTCTATACATTAGTGCGTCCACAAAAAAACATATTGAGTTTGAGTTTGAGTTTATTGATTTCACATTTCACACGCAGAAATAATGCAGATAACAAAATATACATAAAAGACATATTGTTTCATAATATAACAAAATGATTATATTAATTGACAAGGTAATCATCACATTTGTTTGACAACTAATATCATTTAAAGGAAACCCAGATAAAAGTACAAACTGTGAAATGTGCAGGAACCTATAGAAAAGCAGAGCTTGTAAAGAATAGGTTCCTGGAATCATATCGCATTCTATATCATTTTGCATTCTATATCTTGCTTTCAGGGGAGTACATTATCTCAATCACAAGAAAGAAGGAAAAACATGAAATTTGATGTACAAAAGGCATGGAGAGTTGTTTACAGATGATGTCATCAAATTGAATACCGCCCTCTAGTGACTAGTAATTTAAAAAAGCTCTTACTTCCTTAATCCTTGCCCGATTTTGTTCAAATTTTCACTGATATTTTTCAAACATCTTAAACTTTACAATAAAAGTAACTTAGTATGAAGGTTTTGGTTTCCTTTAAGTCTGTTGTCAATTATGCTTGTTGGTACGGCAGGCAGGCAGCCAGTGAAAACGAATTCGTTTGATAAAATTATGGAAATGGAAGCACTACTTTAAACAAACAGAACTTTGTCATTCCTTGTTCATTTGTCCTGATTGAGGTGTCATATGAAAAGGCAGAAACTCAACTTTCTAGAAATGTAATTTTCTTCTTGAAATTCAGATACCATCCGCCAAATGACTTTTTGGTTTCCTCTCTTCAAATTCATTTGAATCACTCATGCGTGAAATATGCATCATACGAGTTGCATCAAATGAAAGAGGATGATCTAAGCTTTCCAAATATCATTTATTAATAATAAATGTGACTAAGTTATGATAAAACTACGATAATTTTCGGTTTCGTTTTTTCTGGGACGCACTGTATAACTTAACGAAATTAAAAAAAAAAAAGATAGAATAATAGGCGAAGAATAACATAAGAAGTGAAAGAAAGAGAAATCGAGTAAACGCGCGTGGGGGCCATTACGTCATCGCGCAGAGAATGGGCGTCGACTAAAAACGAAAAGGGTTATAAACTAGTAAACAGGACGGGTGTCTGACGCCAATTCGCATCGTTAGAGGACGGGGAAATTGCGCTGCCGTCGGAAAAAGGAGAAAAGGGGGAGGGAAAAAAGAGAGGGAAAGGGAAAGAAAAGAAAAAAAAAGAAAAGGAAATAAAAGAAAGAAAGGAAAAGAAAGGGAAAAAGAAAAGAGGAGAGAAGAAAGAAGGAGAAAAAAGAAAAAAAGGTAGGAGAGGAAAGAAAGGAAAAGAAAGAAAGAAAATGAGGAAAGGAAAAAAAAAAAAAAAAAGAGAGAGAAAAAGAAAGAGAGGAGAGAGATAATACTTGTATTTTCCCGAAGTTTCACTTCCTATAATATCAGCTAAAGAAATTAGAGGTTTAAGAGAGGAGACAGAGGGGGAGGAAGGAGCCTGAGACGGGAGGGGTGGGAGTGAAAAAGAGAGGGGGGTTGGGTGGGGTTGTCTCGTCAAGGGAGCAAAAAAGACACACATACATATATTGCTATGTCGGGTCACCTGTGTCGGTAATATTGATCGATCCTTGATCGTGTGTTATATCAATGCAAAAGTTTGAAGTCGGTGAGATGTATAATGTCGGTCGGCCGACAATTTATTTTTCCTACGAACTGCGACTTCGAGAGAGACTGCAACTATGACACTTGTATTTTCTCAAAGTTTCAATTTCCTATAATATCAGCTAAAGAAATTAGAGGTATTAAAATTTTCGGGGAAACTAAATTCAAATAAGGATTAAGAATCAAGAACGTTACAACGAATAGTCTTCTTTCTCTAATAATTTAAGGTAACGTCAAAGCTTCCGCGCTTCGCGCCAGAGGGGGAGACTGAATTCAGACAATCAGGACTAATCCAAAGTCGAAAATGGTACAACGAATCGTCTTCTTCCTGTAATAATTGTAATGAAACGTCAAAGCTTCCGCGCTTCGCGCGTGAGAGGAGGGGGGGGGGGGGACTGAATTCAGATAAAGAATAAGAGTCGAGAACGGTACAACGAATCTTCTTCTTTCTCTAATAATTTAAGGAAACGTTGAAGCTTCCTTTCGTCAAAGGGTGGAGGAAACTAAATTCAGACAACTAGGGTTAAGAGTCGCGAACGCTAAATGAATCGTTTTCTTTCTATAATAATTTAATGAAGAGTCAAAGATTTCCGCGCTTCGCGCCGGAGGGGGGAAACTTCATTTAGGATTAAAATTCGAGAACAGTACAACGAATCTTCTTCTTTCTCTAAATAATTTAAGGAAGCGTTTAAGCTTCCCGGGAACTGAATTCAGATAAGGAAGAGTCGAGAACATGAACGAATCGTCTGCTTTTTCTCATAATTTAAGGAAACGTCAAAGCTTCGCGCGGGTTGAGGAAACTGAATTCAGACAAATATAGGGTTAAGAGTCGCGAACGGTAAATGAATCGTCTTCTTTCTATAATAATTTAATGAGATGTCAAAGCTTCCGCGCTTCGCGCGTGAGAGGGGGGGGGGGGGGGGAACTGAATTCAGATAAAGAATAAGAGTCGAGAACGGTACAACGAATCGTCTTTTTTCTCTAATAATTTGCCTCGCGCCGGAGGGGGGAAACTTCATTTAGATAAGGATTAAAAGTGGAGAACGGTACTACGAATCGTCTTCTTTCTCTAATACTTTAAGGAGAAGTCAGAGCTTCCGCCCTCCGCGCCAAAGGGGTAGACTGAATTCAGACAATTAGGGTTAATCTAGAGTCGAAAACGGTACAACGAATCGTCTTCTTCCTTTAATAATTGAATGAAACGTCAAAGCTTCGATCCGCGTTTCGCGGGAGGGGGGAGAAACTGAATTTAGACATGAGGGTTAAGAGTCGAGAATGGTAAATGTATCGTCTTCTTTCTATAATAATTCAATGAAACGTTAAAGCTGCCGCGCTTCGCGCGGGAGGACCTTCACCCACCCCTTATGGGGAGTGCACTTGCCCCGCCCCCCCCCCCCCACTCCGGGGTCGGAATGACCGCATGCGTGTTACCAAAATGTCCGGTAAAGGGGTACTTTTCGTGCGACAAAGTCCGGCCCGAGAATTGTAAGAAAAGGGGGTGTATTTGACCGTCACCCGGAGATTTCTTTAAAAAGGGGGTGTTTTTTTTTTCTTTTTTCTCTCATCTCTTTGGACTCCTGAGAAATTATTCCGAATTTAGGGGGGTAAATTGAGGCAGAAAAAGCCCGCGAAAGGGGGGTTCAGAAATGTTGGCAGTCCTCAGATAGGGGGTGCTTTCAAAAAGAGGGAACAAGCATATGCGTACCCTAAATAACACTGAGTGGGGGGGGGGGGCGGGGCGCTTGCTCACTATATCGCCCCCTAAAATAAGATTCTAGCTACGCGCCTGCATTTAAATATATAGCTATGATGCTAAGTTGACGAAATAATTCGTATATTTATGTTGTCGAGGAAAAGGACCATTTGCGCATACGCAAGTACCATAGATAGGCTAGTTCATATGAATGATCGAGCCTTCAGCTCCGGGTTTATAGGGTTAAATCTGTAGCAGTGGGAAATTCCATTTTGTCGGTGATTGGTGGCTAGTTTTGTCAGTATTCCCAGTAATCGGTGGCCTCTACATCACCCCCCCTCCCCCCCCCCCCACTGATAAAGGTTTAGCGACGCCCCTGCTTAAAAGCCGTCCTCGTCCACACAAACGAAAAGCCCCTATTTACTGCAAGTCACTTTTATTTCGTAATCCGTAATCGCATCGGGGATTCCCCGATTGACGCACCCGTCTTTGGGTATGACTTCCGCTTATCTCGACATCAAAGTGTACTGCATGCCACAGTCACACGTAGACATTTTTCGACCAGTGCCTCACCGACTTGAATGAGCTGCGCGAATAACAGCAATAACTCCATGCCCACGGTGACGTCGACCGTATCGACGGTTGTAAGTAAACTGTATAGATATCTTTGATACAATTTTAATTTTATAATAATGGTCATAGACTTCAAGTTCTAACTTTGTTAGGCCTGATTAATAATGCAAATGCAAATTGACCTGGAGTGGAGCGCTAGCACCGCGCCGCGCCGTGCACTGCACAGGCCACAGCTGTTAGTGTTACCGGTATATGCGGACACACACAACCAAAACTGCGCCTGTGAACAATTTTTGTTAGTGAATTTTCATGAATTAATCATTCAAAAGATATATTTTCAACACTGTTTGATGCATCGTTTTTGTTAAATAAACTTTTACAAATCTACAATGCTAAATTTAGGATTTAGCTACCATTAACTGCCACCAGGATTCGGCGGAAGTTAGCCCTGGCCCTGAAACAATATAATTGGCCCTATGGTGTCTTCAAAATAGAAAACGGAAATTGAATGTGTAAGTGTAACATAAACAAGTACATGTACCGGTAGGTGACAAAGAGAAAATATATATATATAAAAGCTTTCACTAGTCTCCAATGTGAAAATAAAACATGGTATATTATAGCAGAACAAAAACCTTATAAACTGGTACATTTCAACATTTTGGATTGAAAATGTCTAACTTCAATTTTTAAGTTAAGATTATGATATTCCATGCATTTAGGATCACGCAATTCTACAGAGTTTTACTAGTTGAGTAAACAAAATAGATTTCATAATTTTTAGCATGTTGAGACTATTGTTAAATAAATTAATTGAGATTGAACTGAACAAAGTACTATTAATACTAAATACTCTAGTTTCAAGAGATTTTGGCCAGTTCTTCACTGTTTCAAAATTAAATCAAAGCTTTAATGGAAATCGGCCTTAGAACAAAATATATAACTCAAATTGTCAGTCTTTAGATTTAAAGGCATTGGAAATGATTGTATGATATTTTAATGAGATAAAAACGCTTATCAGATTTAAGGTGAATAGTTAAGCATTACCTCCATAAATGTCACATGTTGAAATTTTTTGTCTGGGTCAAATATTGTTTCAGATTGAAGCTAGGGCTCAAATCGGCAATTACAAATTTTACAAAATTATCTGCAACGTGCAATAATGGCAAAAATCAATTTTCGAATTTGAAGGCTTTTAAAACTATCGTTGACATTTTAACTGTTAAATAATGAACTACATCATTTTAAAGCTGCAAACCTGCTCTTTACTCTCATATAAGTCGCATGCTGAAACTTTTTGTCTGGGTCTTATTGTTTCAGATTGATGTTAGAGCTCAACAGGAGTAAGAGTGTGGACCTCATTCCAGCAGATGTGCTGAGAAGTAGGGACTTTTCCACACATGTACAAAACGAATGGGAGAAAAATGAAAATTATTATTGAAATACTTACTTTTGAATGCGATGCTCCAAAATCATACTTTTACCATAAATGACGGTGACCTTAATAAATCAGTTTTGTTATTTCCTGCTAATTCACTGCTCAAAATCATGTAGAAAAACGAAAGAAACCGCTGCTGAGTTTCCTCAGTGGTTGTTTAGCTATCGTTTAGCGAATCGTCTAGTTTCAGCCAGCAATAATTTCAGGCAGTAATTATTCATAAAGAAGTGAAAGATCTGTTCCAAATTAAAAACTACCAGTATAGATCAATTTTGTTACTTAATGTGTACTATAAGTTTTTAACCAAAGTTTTTTCTACAAGAATTTAAAAAGCTTATTTGTTAGCAATAGATTTTGAAAAGGCTTTTGACTCTGTTTTGCACATGTATTTGCAAAAGGCCAAAAGGCAGCGACTCGGCTATTCATGGGGTTCCCTTTGATTTAATTCTCGTAAGCAAATTCTTTTTGCAGCTGTCACTGTTTGTTTAAGATATTGAATCTTTTAATAGACTAAACACATTATTTACCAGTTTTGTTGATATGTCTGGATTGAAGATGAATAGAGACAAAACTTTTATATTGTTGTTGGAATTTGTTGGGCCCTAACTCAAATAAAAATGTAATAGTTCCATTTGGTAGGAAAGTAAACATTGTAGAGATATTAGGTATACACTTTATTTAAGACGTGGAAAGCCAGGAAAGAAATAATTACAAAGAAATCTTAAGTAAAATATAAAAAGCTGATTAAATGTGGTGGAAACAAAGAGATTTGACTTTGATTGGGAAAATTCAACTAATTAAGACTTTTGTTCTTTCAAAATTAGTATCCTCACTCACACCACTTCCCCCTTGGGCATTCCGTAAAATTGAAATATTAACATTTGATTTTTTTTTTATGGAATGGAAAAGCTAAAATCAAACAGAGTACTATGTTTTTAGATTACGTTTGGGGAGGTCTTAAAGCCCCTCTAAAGTGTTGGGAGCCCCAAATTCGCCAACAATTTGATGGCAATATTTCACTTAAATTGTATCATAATGTGAAAGAAGATGTCATCAAAGACACACTTCTGCAAAGATTTTCCCCCAAAATGCGTTTGAAGACAAAAATTGATAAAAGAATACTCCTTTTGCAATAAACACAAAGAGTCTTGTCAACATCTGTTTTTTTATCAGTGAGAAGGTAGCAAGTATTTGGAAGATCTTTTGATTTATCAATTTTAACAAATGTACACTGGCAAGAAATTGATATCGGGATAAAAAGATCCAATGCAGGAGAAGAACAACTTTTAAATCACATTATTCTTTTAACAAAACATACGGTATGCTTTTTGAGTATAGTTCAACTAAAAGTAGACCTCCAATTCCTCAAGAAATAATAATTTTTTTTAGAAAATAGTCAAGAAGAAATGGGAATGGGATTAGCGGAAGAGAGACACACTTTAACACTTCACTTCAGAAAATGGAACAACTTCCATTACCAGATTATGGAAAGCACAAAAAACATAAAGCATATAGGTCGACTGTATATGCTTTCATCATACTGAACATATATGCATTCCCTTTAATTTTCCTCCTTATTTAAAAAAGACAGTCGTGAAGAATATGGAGGATAATTATTTTAAATATAATTGGGTAGGGGGCGCGGCCTTGGCCTAAATCGGAATGTGTGGGTCACACAATTCAAAAGTTATCAAACAGTGGAATACATATATATAGCTAGATTAGTGAAAAATCTACTTATTTAAAGAGAGCAGTAAATTATTTTAAATTCAAGAGAAATTTGGAAATATTATATTATCTATGCTTTTATCTATGGTTCAATTCGATTTCAAAAAGCTACATTGTAACTGGTATTTGTGAGTGAATTTGATAAAGCTTTGAAGAATGTAAAAGAACACTTTATTCAAACATTGTGCAAAGATTTATTGATTTTATTGCCCTAAACCATAAGGCTATAATGGTTTTACTCTCATTCATTACTTTTCAGCAATCTCTCATATTGTGGCTGGAGAAATCTTTGTAGATGTGCATTCAGAGACTGTATAGGAGGAAGAGCACATGTAAAGATATGGCAGAATGCACCTTTGAGACATACATGTAGCATCTGTTGTATTTGATGGACCTTTATATGAAAACTAGGTAGACTTGTGGCTGTTCAGAAATCTTTGCCCACTGTCCCATCTCCTGTAAATATAGTTGTAGGTGCCCTTGAAACAGATCTGCCTGTTCTAGTGATCTTTATAGGTTAATTTCACAGTACCCTGTTTTATTCCTCTAGTATGACAGTCCTCCAGTGTTACAGTCCTGGCCTTTGATTCCTGAGCAGCCACAGAACTTATTTTCCCAAATCTCTCCTTATTTTGTAAGCCAGGACTGTCAGGACTGTCTACCCCCTTCCAAATTAAGATATATATAAAGATTTATAGAATCTGCCCCTCACAATTCGATCTTAAGTTAATCCTCAATTAATCACCATGGCTGCTACACAAGGGATCAGAAGCACCAAGACATACATCTGGTACCTTAAAGATGTTCTAGGAACTGGGGCCACTAGCTCAGTTTACCTGGGCCGTCACAAGGTGAGATCTTTTTATGGATTCTTTCTGTTTATAAACATAGCTTTTATTGTGTAAATCATAGATGGGGAGAAAAGGAGCACGTTACAAGTTACATAAAATTCAGTTGCTCCTTTTCTCCAAAGTAATTGTCCCTACAAAAAAACCCAGAGAGGCTTTATTTGGGATTTAATACTGTCTGGATATGAGTTTGATAGGGTGTGATTGCTTTGAATGATGAACTACAACTTGTGATGAAGAGTAAATTATTTCCATATTGGTGCTCATATTCCATGCCCTAATTCATATTATTTTACTTACTTGCTTTTTTAATTTAGACAATTTTTTCAGAACCATATTTAGAAGAAGTCTTACTCAGTTGAAGTTCTTCTCATGCTTTTTTAATGTTTGCAACTACCGGTAGTATGATGTACAATAAACAAAATTATATTGACTACTCCAAACCTCTGCACCAACAAGTAATGTAATATTTTTCCTTTTCTTCCTATTTTTGCTCTCAGAAAAATGGGGATGTCGTTGCTGTGAAGATGTTCAACCATTTGAGTTACATGCGTCCTCGTGATGTTCAACAGAGAGAGTTTGAAGTCCTTCTTAAATTAAACCACAAAAATATCATCCATCTGGACCAGATTGAAGAAGATGTAAGTTTCAATAAATATTTGAAAAATTTGATACATTGTCAGAAGCTTTAATTAGAATGTACAGCAGAGTTGGGAGTTAATATAACTAGCAAAAGTTATCTTCAAGGCTTTCCATATTTCTCATAATTGATAATAGGGACAGAAATATTTTATTTTCTATTGAGTAATATATGTGCTTGACTATCTGCAACACACCTCTGAAAATAGACAGTAATCTTCAAAAGGTACATTGCATAAAGGCCAAGAATGAAAGGAAAAACAACAAGCAAAGGTAAATTGTAATAGTGTGTTTTCATCACCACTGTACAGGAACTGATAATAAAAGGTCTTAAATGAATCAATAAACGTTTGGGAATTTTAAAATGTCGTTCTAACAGAATTCAGCTTGAAAAACCCATGTTATTTTATTTCACACATTTTGGGGTCTAAAATTACCTTCATAAGCAATTTCAGGTCCTAAAAGGGCACTAGAAATGTCATAAACAAGAATAGGAGCAATAAACATGCACTTTGAAGGCATTTGTGGTCTTAAACAAGAACTGAACTGTCCCTTTAAGTATTTAAGGAAATAGAGGATTTTGCAATGTAGGAGAGCTTTCGAATCGGAAGATAAAATGGGATCCTGCTCTTTTCATTGAAAAAGATCTTACCATATCGTACCATTAATATTGTGTATTTACCTTTATATGACTAAAATACACAATTAAAAAAAAAAAAAAAGGAAAACCCCTTTTTTTACAAATTATTCAAGATTACCTTTGACTTGTAAAATAAGGGTAACAGACTTTAATATTTATCTAATGGATTAAGCAAACACTTTAAGAGTTTGTTTCCTGATAGTACACATAGTTATTTCGTTTCAAAGTTGATAAATGTAAAGGGTAAAATCTCTGAGTAACTTGTTGACCACCAGGATGTGGGCATACATGTGGTAGATCAGTATCGCTATTGTGTAGGTCAAACTGACCTATGACTCATAAGGTCATTTTAGATGAGCATAATTAATTGCTTGAATAATTTTGTGTGTGTCTAAAATGTAGTTTTGACTTTTGATAGCTATCATTTGAAGTTTGATCCCCTGTTCTGATATTTCCTTCTCTAAATTGTCAAGTACATGTCCTTAACTGCATGGATCTCAGATGAATCGTGATGGATTGTAATATTCCCTGTAGCAAACTTATTTGTTTCTTTACTGAGATCAATCATTAATGTTTTAAGAAGTAAAATTTAGCTGGATATGATGGAGAAGATATGATCAAGTTTAGGAGGTGTCTTACAAAACATGCTACCAATCACAACTGCCACACATATTTGCTCCCAGCCAATCAAATGCAATGATTTTTGTAGCTTTTATCAACTTTTGTGTTTTATTTGTTAACAGCTTTTATGGTACTAAACCCAGAAAGTGTACTGTTTGTGACTCTTTTAACTGTGATATTTTAATTATTAGAATCTACAAGGTGTTCCTCAAACAATGATTATCATAATTACCAATATCTCTTCAATATTGCCATGAATGTTTCGTTATTACCCTTCTTTAGCAAATCTCGAAGCAGCCTGTCATCGTAATGGAACTATGTACAGGTGGAAGTCTTTATACCTATCTTGACACACCTGAAAACCTGTATGGCTTGAAAGAGAAGGAATTCCTTCAAGTTCTTAATGATGTCTGTAAGTATTTTGATCTACTTAATTTAATTATCTAATCATTATTGTGGATAAAAGGTATCATCTAACATTTTGTGAAAGGCTTCCCATGTGGTGGAAATGTTTGTGAATCATTGTTTTAAGAAAATATATATATATATATATATATATATTTATCAGGAAAAAAAGAAACATATCAGAAAATTTCTCAAAAATTTGTTCTTGGTTAAGTTTGGAGGAATTCTACCTCATGTACCAGAAGAAGAAATTTAAAGCTAGTGCTGGACGAACATTTTGAAAAGTTTGAAATGAGACATAAAGTCTGAAACTATCACTTTTTGTTGAATATGAACGTAGGCACATATTTGGTGTTTGGTTTCTTAGTAAACTTTTCCAGAATGATCCATTCTTACATACTTTCAGTGAATGTTAGATAGTACCTTTAATAGCCTATAGCCATCAGAAAATGGGGTCCCCATTGATTTTTGCTAAAACATTTTTATTAATAGTTTGCTTTTATTGGGTTAATTACTTTTATTCACTCTTAAATAACATAGACATCGCAATGCAATTTTTTAAAGACGTTAAGAAAACGGTTTTTGAAATTTTTAATTCCAATCATAAATATCTTGATAATCAAGCATGAGATTGGCTTGTAAAAGTCATGGGATTTATGTCTGACCTAAAGGTTTACAATTATGATTGCAGCATATGAGCTAAATCCAGGATTTTGTTAAGAATCAGAGGCAAAGATACCTAATACGATAAATGTATATTCAGTCCATTCCTAAATCATCATACCTGTTACTATACAACAACATAGCAGACGTATGTATGTTTTTTGTTTCAGTATTTTCTGTGTAAATGCACAAATGATAACAGTCAAATTGCTCTTTGGGATCACTCGAAAAGCTATGCACATCATTGCTATTTACCTGCATTATTTTCTTTCTTTCTATAAATTTCTTTGATTTAATATTTTGTAGCATCCTCAGAAATTTATGATTATCTGTCATTTAAGTGAACGTTTTGTTAAATTGTCTGGTTGGAATGCGTGGTCAGGTATGGAAACGAAACTCATACTTTTCTACAAGTAGGTTGTTTGGACAAGTCATAGCTGCCATAGTGACCAAAGACCATACGTGAGATAATGGTCACCTGTGTAGGGAGACCGGTGGCTATTGTCTAGGAAAATAGCACCAACAAATAAATTCATACTAAAGTACCATAACGTTAACCCTAGAGAGAAAAGACTTTATTGCCCTGAATCACTTTCTAAACTAGGTGGAACTTCGACTGCACGCAGTCGAAAATGATGCCTCCATCATAGAGCGATTTTACAAACCAAAACAGAAGCAATTTTCAAATTCAATTCGTTTGTAATCAATTAACAGGTTCTCAGAATATTGTGATTACAAGCTGCTTCTCATTTACATGTATGACCCTTTGATCTTTGACCTTGTGACCCCAAAATCTACTCGGTTAATTGGCTCTGCAAAATACATACATGTCTTGAGTTTGATGATAATCCATCCAGCGGTTCTAATGATAATGCGATCACAAGCTATTTTTGCATACATAGTGAGCCCCATGACCTTTGACCTTGACCTCATGACCCCAAAATCTAATCAGTTTATTGCCTCAGCAAGATACATATATGCATGTCCTGAATTTCATGGTAATCTGTCTATCTGTTCTAATGATAATGTGATCACAAGCTATTTTTGCATACATAATGAGCCCTGTGACCTTTGACCAAACCTTGTAACCCCAAAATCTAATCAATTCATTGGCTCTGCAAGATGCAGGAATTCATCAATCAGTTATTTAGATAACCTGATCACAAGCTATTTTTTTATTTGAGCCCTTTGACCTCGTTACCCCAAAATCTAATCAATTAATTGGCTCTGCAAGATCCATACATGACCTATTGATAGGCGGGAATCTATCAATCAGTTCTTCAGATTGCGCGATCACAAGCTATTTTTGCATACATAATGAGCGCTGTGACCTTTGACATTTGACCTCATGACCCCAAAATCTGATCAATTCATTGCTCTGCAAGATACATACATGACCAAAGATTGGCAGGAATCCATCAATCGGTTCTTGAGATAACGTGATCACAGGAACGGGACGTACGGACGGACTGAACCCGAAAACATAATGCCTCCGGCTACTTCGTAACGGAGGCATAAAAATTGCAGATGAAAAGGATTTTAGTAGTTGTATCCTTACATGAAGAATATTGCAGTCTATTTAATCATTTTCAAAGTTCCTGTATCTTTTTTTTTGTGATGAGAAGCTTCACAAACAACCGCACCATGTCATCTGGGAGTCGGTCAGGAGCATGTGGAACTGGGAGACACTAGCAGGTCTGTGAATCATGTCCTTGCCAGCTCATGGTAGCTTTAAATTGCAGGGGAACGGCCAAGTGTCTCTTCTTCTAATTTCTTCATCTGAATGTAATCGTGATGGAAGAATACATCTGACACTCTACAATCCTCGATAACTCTTGGGTGTTAAGTGATCGATCTTTAACACTACCGGTTATTGAAGTCCTGACTTCAACCTTCTGCAATTCTCTATAACTTTTGGAATTTACATTATGATTCAGTTCAACTGAAAGCTTGATACCACTGGAAACGAGAGTGTACTACAGTCGTATGTCATCAGATCGTCACATTTAAGGAATGGATAGCAAAGTGCCAAATAATTGCAGACATAAAGTATATACCAGTATGAGTACTGTGAAACAGTCCTGAGCAAAGTGATGATTATCACATCTCCTATCAACTTGTCTGACTGAAATTGAACGAGATGGGAGGCATACAATGATATTCGAAATTGGAAGATTGAACTTTTAAAGAGTACCACCTAACTCTGATCCAGTTTCTTAGCAATCAACTTTTCAAAGAAACATAGCAAACACTCTGATATAGTTCCTGTAACATCTGCTGATTAAGATTATTAGGGAAAGGCCCCTTTACTTTGCACTTTAATTTGCATGGTTCCTGTTCCCGCATGGTCACGTAAGTATGCGTATGTAGGGATAATTGTTTTAACAGAGAAATGGATGTATAGGAACTTACATGTAGGAAGGTAATATATTTGCAACCCAGTCCCATTATTCAAATTTCCAGCTTTTTAAAAAATGGAGCATTATGCAGTTAGGAACCCTCACTCACTCTTTAAACATGATCTAGTACTGTCGGACCATCTTGAAGCAATGGCGTATCACTAATACTTGATTTTTGTAATTATCATGTTCTTCTTAACCATTTCAGATTTTTAAAAATCACGTCATATCACTGGTATCAAAACTAATTCCCTCATCACATAATTAGCTTTTTGGTTATAAATTCCACATAAGGCCCGTCTTCATCAGCTCGAGTTGGCCAAATAGCCTGCTATTTTTGATTTGGGAAATTAGCCCCAAGTTACAAATTGTGTCATCAGCTCGAAACTCGAGCACAAGAAATTTGCTCAGTGTGCTCGCATAGTGCGAGTCTTCGGGCTGGTAAAGACGGACCGGACAAATAGTGGGCTATTTTGCAAACTAGCCCAAGATATGTTGGGAAGATGTCCTGAGCAAATAGCCCATTATTAGCATCTTAACCTGCCAAAAAGCCTGCTATTTCGTGATCAGGCTAATTTCCCGAATCAGAAATAGCGGGTTATTTGGCCAACTCAAGCTGATGAGGACAGGCCTATATTCATTATATATTTTGAAGGGTCTTCTTCAATCTATTCTAAAGCTGAAGTTTTGTTTTAAATCCATGTACAGCTGCAGGCATGAAGCATCTACGGGATAAAGGCATCGTCCATCGCGACATCAAACCTGGTAACATCATGATGGTCAAGGGCGAGGATGGAGTCATTGTCTATAAGCTGGCTGACTTCGGAGCAGCAAGGGAACTAGAAGATGATGAAGCCTTCAAGTCTCTCTACGGAACAGAGGAATATCTGGTAAGGATATTGATATGGTTTGATGTTTTGTGATTAGTATGTGTGCTGAAGACTTTGTCACATTGTATATATTTGTGATTGATTTATTTTGAAAAGATTTTGATTTTTTTGAAAGTTAAAGATTGATGAAAGATGCGCTAAGGACAATTGCTCCACAATCAAGTTTTAACACTAACCAAAGTCCTAACTTCGACTGGTGATGCTACAGCATGCCTGACATAGCAACTCATATGGGGATATAAGTATGGTCAGGTGGTCAGCCTTGGTGAAGCTACATACCACTGTCTCTTGTTAGCTCACCAATGATTGACCGATGATGTCACAAGATGAATGAGTTTTTTTAGGGTCTGAGAAAATTATTGTAAAAACTATTTAAAAATCAATGAAATATATTTAGATGTCTGAATAAAAAAACAAAAATCAATTCGTATGCAGCCCTGCACATCAACAGGAATCAACTTATATTTGGATGTCACCCGACCTTTAAAATAAAAGTTGCCCAATATCAATATGAAAACTAGCAACCCAAAATAGAATTCTAATTTGATATTGAAACAGCTTGATATATAGTCATGTTTTTTGTTTTGTTGGCATCTTTTAGAGATCATGTGTAGTTCCCACTTCCTGTGTTTAAGGTGAATAATATTTATAGATGGAAATACCAGGTGTAAAGGCCATTTTTTATAGGGTTATTACTATAATGTGGTTTCAGGAAATTTTATCTACTCGGTACACATGCATCCAGGTCCCCATGCAACTGTTCAAAGTACAGAGTACAATAGTCCAAACTTTAGTTAGTAGTTTTAAATATAGAACTGGCATTTATACTTAAATTTCAAAATGGGAAAGTGTTTACCGATATACAGATATGTACTAGGATATTTTCTTGGTAACTTTATCTGGCATCATATCCATTTACCTTTGTCGAGCTGTATACGTTTTTTCAATCTATTCTAAAGAGTTTTTGTATTAAAAGTTTTTTTTTTTCTTCTTCAGTTTAATAAAAAAAGACTACTAGCTTTGAACACATGATCTAGACTGACAAACATTATTGTACAGATGTTCTTTTTATCTGATTTTTTTTATTAATGAGTACCCCTGCATGTATTTACACAAGAAACACCCACTAGTATAATGATGAACTAATTGAATAGATTTCAGAAAGGACAAATGCTATTGTTTTTAAAATTATAAGATTGAACGTTTAAAGATGATCCAATAATCATTTATTCATGAACACATACTAATTAAATCAATCCATTTTGATGGACACAACATATTTTTGCAGTCAGGGTTGCTTCAGAAGGATTTAGATATTTAAGCCCACTTCTTCATCAGCTTATGTGTGGGAGTAAACAGGAAGATATTCTCTTTTCTGGAGCACATATTGGAGGTGGTATATACACTGAAGATTCATCTTTTTTTATAAATTGTTTGAATCTAAAAATAGGACAATTTTCATACTTCCGCTTGACGAACATGTATGATGGAAATTGGAAAGGGAAATATAGTTGTAGATAGGGTAGGGAGAAGTGCAATACATCTATGAATAAGTACAAAGTTATGTAGTCATTTTGCAATGCCATTGGATCTATTAATTTCCTGTGTGACACTTTCACTATCAGCATTGCTGATTGCTGGGGAGTTTCGATGTAACAATATATGGGGATTCCCCTGACTGATGATGTCATGTCATGTCACATACCACATGGATGTTAGGAATGTGTTAATGTGTATGTCAATTGGCAAGGATGATGTAAGATGTCATGAAAAAGAGCTAAATCCGACCAAGACAGGTTGTCTTGGGAAGTTTTCTTTCATAGCCGGATTTAGGTAGCCTAAATGGGTGTGAGTGAAACCGGATTGAATGACGCAGAAACTGAAACTAGATGACATTTCATTTTCATTTTCAAAAAGAAAATTTTAAGAATGTGTATGATATTGGTTGAGGTTATTCTGTAAAGGGTCTCTTATGTCATTTTCATAATATTAATCTATTTGTATTAAATGCAGTCTTGATTAACCACTGTTCTTAAAGGGAAAGTCCACCCCCAAAATAAGTTTGTTTCGATAGAGGCAGAATAATAAGAAAATCAGGTGAGTGAAAGTTTGAGCAAATTCTGAATGAAAATAAGAAAGTTATGAATTATTGAAGTTGTGATCAATCAAATACAAATTGGCAACTCTGTGACTTATTATACGAGCTCTCCTTCATTTGCTTTGTGCATAATATTCCATAAAATCATGTTTTCTTCGTTATTGATGATGGAATATATATTTGTTCCTTGCAGGGGGAGTATAGAAACATATTTGTAATTATTATATTTAGGGTGCATGTACGGTTGAAATTTTTCTTGAGGGAAAATGAAAATTTTAGATTTTTTTAGTACTGAGCAAATGGAAGTTGAGCTCGCATGATACGTCATAGAGTTGCCAATTTGTGTTTGATTGATCACAACTTCAAAAATCCTAACTTCCTTATTTTTAATCAGAATTTGCTCAAACTTTCACTGACTTGTTTCTCTCATTTTTCTACTACTATTAAAACTAACTTAATTTCAGGGTGGACTTTCCCTTTAAAAGGAAAGGGAATATGTACACTTGATAAGTGAAAAGTCATGATAAGTGTATTTAGTAAATCTCTACCTCTTCTCAGATGATATCACAGGCATTTTCTTGTGATTTATCTTCTGATGATCTCTAGAGCAAATTATTGATAACAATAATTAAAAAAAAACAATATCAACCTGGATTTATTTAATGCTTAATACAAAATATTGTCTGTATGTTAAAAAAAGCTTTACAGATATGATGTTATCATGTGACATTTACAACGTGCAGGCAATGCTATCCTTAACTGAGTTTTCATAGTCATGGCATTATTATACTAGACAAATATGTTGAAATAAGAGTGTCACTTTATCTGAATTTTAGTGAGAATGAAATCAGTGCTGCAATGTTGATCTTTTAGCTGTGAGCTGACAATAAGCGTACATTGCCCATTGATAAAGGAAGAATGTTATCAAGCAAAGAGGAATTGTAATCGGAAAATAATAATCTGCCCATTGTAGTTAAAACGTTTATGTTCAATTCTGCCTTACTCTAATTTCTCTCCTTGTTTGTCCATCTGACATTAATAGCATCCAGACCTGTATGAGAGAGCTGTACTGGGCAAAAGAAACAGGACAGAGTTCACAGCGCAGACTGACCTTTGGTCACTTGGAGTGACCTTTTTTCATACTGCCACAGGGTCACTTCCTTTCCGCGCCCATGGAGGACGAAACAACAGAGATGTCATGTGAGTTTAGAACATAATATGCAGTGTCTTGGAAGTGCTGAGAAAATCTTAAAGGAAATGAAGTGCTTGTGACCCATCTTGGTGAATAGGATTCTGCAAAACTATTAAGGAAATGTATTGAAAATTAATTTAGTATTTTATGCTAAGCCATGAAAACATATTTTGGAGCATACATGTATGGTCTATTCTACATATAATGAAACGATGAAGTCAGTGGGCTTTACATTTTATTCATGAAAAGTGTAACATTCTTTATTTAGAAATTGATGAAGAATATTTTATTTAATTTTTTATTTATTTTTCATCAATTATTTGTAATAGGTTCTGTATAGTCGGTGAACAAACGGGATAATATTTTTTATAATTTTTTTTATATTTTTAATTCAGGCATAGGATCACGACCACCAAGAAATCCAGTATGATTTCTGGTGTCCAGGAAGTCCCTAACGGACCTATCATCTGGAGCGAGGACCTACCAAAGACCTGTCACTTCTCACCAGACATGCGTCATCAGGTCAAGACTCTCCTCTCACACACCATGGAGTGCAACATACAGAAGATGTGGACCTTCGACATCTTCTTTGACTTTGTCCAGAGGCTGACCAGCATGCGTCCTGTGGATGTCTTTGTCGCCCCTACCTGTGAATGTCATATCGTCTACGTTGAGCCGCAGCGTAAGGTAGCCGACTTTCAGGATAAGATGGCCCATCTGACAGGAATCCAACCTGAAACTCAGTCTTTGTTGTGGGACAAGGAAGTCTTTGATCTTAAAAAGTGCCTCAAGTGTGAGGATCTCCCGCAGACGTCACCTGACAATCCCTTGATCCTGGTCAGAATGGGAGCTGAAGTTTTTCCGAGTGTCAAGGTTCCATCGCTACGTTAGTATTTTGTTCCTTTTCTTCTATTTTTCTCTTTAATTTTTTATTTTTTTTTTATTGATGGCTTATAATTTATTTTACCATTACAACCTACTGGTAAAGCGATTATATGCTTGTAGGTCACCACCAAGAGGGACCTGGGTATCAATTTAATTTGAAATAAAGATTTTTTTAATGCTTTACCAATAGGTCCAAACCAAGACCTCCTGATTTCAAGACTTCTGCCTACCACATTGAGCCATCATGCTTTCTCCAGTAGTTGAGGATTACTGGAGATGATTGAAATAATTTTGGAGATTATCAGGAGATGAATTGATTTTTAAATTTCCATATTTATTCTGACTTCGTAGATGTTATAGATATGTGTTTTGTTTTACAGCGACACAACCAAAAACAACATTTTAAATATTCCTATATTATTCAGACTTAAAGATGTCTATATAAATTGTGTTTTGTTTTACAGCGACACAACCGAAAACAGCAACTCATTTCTCTGTGCAACAGGACAGCACCTTAGCCAAGGTAAGTGTTTTGTTCGGTAGAGCATGCTTTGTTTAAGAACACCCATCAATAAGCCACTTCAGAGATAGCACTTTTACAAATGACCCCCGAATATCCACAGATCTTTAACACATGGAAAGGTCCCACTTTGTGCATTTTAGAATAATCAATGCCAAAGTGAGGGAGGTGCTTCATGAATACCTTTGCCCTCTTGGAAAGTGTACTTCCACCTGTGTGTCATAGATTGTACCGCCGGTGCATGAACGAATAATGATTACAAAGTATGTTTCATGAACGCGTATCGAGCAGTCGTTTCAAAGGAATTTTACAGTTTTTTTTCAAATGACCTTAATCTGCCCTAGCGCAGATATTAACTCTGGAGTGGCTGATGGTCAAAACAGAGCATGTTACCTGAAGCCTCTTTCACACCTGATCTGCGTAGAGTGGCGTAGTGTGGCGTACCGAGTTAGCCGAAATTAGGCTGTGTATTCATGAACAAAATGTTGCCTCGGCATAGTCCCTGCGTAGCTTATGGGTAGGCTGACGTACGATGGTGTATGGTTACGTACCCTGTGCATAGGCACCACGTACCTACGGCATATCAATTGGCGTATCTCCACTTAAGATTGTGCGTAGCGTACTATTGCGTAGGCATGGCGTACAGTAGCGTAGTGTTGCGTAGAAAGTACGCCAAAAAAAAAAATCAAACATGTTTGATTTTGTACATCCATCTCACGTACCCCTTTGTGTCCCTCAGCATATATTTACGTAGGTATTAGCGTAGGGCAGCGTACGCTCGGTGTAATCAGTACACTATGCAACTCTACGTATTGCCCGGTGGGAAAGTGGCTTAACCCCTGATTATCCATAATCACTCTACAATGTATGAAAATGTTTCTAAAAAACATCAGTTTTCCATAATGTGTCTCATTGTATTGAGAATTGGTTCATGATTTACTATTAAATGGAACATGACTTTTGTTTGTTGATTTTTGTCTGAAGTCCACAGATATCGTGTAGTGTTATTAGGAGCAATTTTTTTTGTCCACATTATTTTTTGGGCTTCTTAAATTTTGAATGGTAATAATCAATTAGAGACTGCTAGCCTTTTGCTTATTTTTAATGATTTTTGCATATCCCCTTCCCAAATGCTTCAGTTTTTGCTTTTAGTATAGATTGCCTACAAAAGAGTTGAACATTTTATCTATGGAAATATTGTGAATTTAATCAGTTTTAATGATACATCACTGATTATTGTACTTATGTCTTCTGTTGAGAGTCAGGATAATTAGTAATGGCTTTCATGTAGAATTCATTTCTTCTTCCTATCAACAAACAATATCTTTGTTTTGCAAATATATCAGAGCAGAAATGAAAGAAAGTGTGCCTATAGGTCACGTAACTTTTTAAGATTTCTTTAATAGATATTGTTGCTCCATTTGCAGCAAAGATGTGAATTTTATTACTTTTCAATGACAGTCATTTAATTGTCATTTTTATGACTCAACTATTAATTGGGGGTTTAATCCCCTGTTTATGAAGACAAATTGGCTATCTGAAGGCTTGATTGAACAAGTTGACTTTTTATGTTTTTGCTTATTAATATTATTATAATTATTATCATCTATTTCATCGTCATCATCATCATCATCATCATCTTTGTCATCATTATCATCATCATTATTATTATCATCATCATCATCATCATCATCATCATCATCAACATTATTAATGAGCTTTTAAGGTACCGTATCTATGATGTCAACTTGGTATGTATTTTCTCAGAATTGTTCAGCAGTAATGTGCTATTACGTGAATGTGGTGGGTTCGCTGGCAAGGATAGAAACTCTCATTACTCAAACTGTCAAAGCAGTCGTGTAAGTTCATCAAGAAATTTGTATTTATATATCAAATAGATTTTTTTCTACATGTTTTATTGATTGTTAGCATGAGTGCGTAATTATAGGTGTTGTAAATTTATCTTTTATTTTAGTGTCTATTATAGTTAATTGCATTTTAATTTCAATCAAATTGTTGATTTTGTTTTCTTTTGTTGCTTTTTCTTTTATTTGTTCTGTATAATTTTATTTAATGAATCTAAGGATTCTTTTTGGTGGTTAATTCATCTAGATTTTTGTTTTAGTTTGTGTCATCCTTTATTTTTGTGGTGGTTGAAATTCATGTAATGTGTTTAATTTTCTCAAAGAACAGGTCTTTAGCAGAACATGTATATTGGAATTCCTATTTGATGTAATTAAACAATTAAAACAATGTATAAGAACAAAGGATCTTATCAACAAAAGAAAGCATTGATTGTTTACATTTGCTTCCAGAACAAGTCTTGATAAATCCCATGAGGTTTAGTGGTTTCTGTATTAAAGGGAAAGTCCGCCCAGATACTATCTTCGTTTTAATAAAAGGAGAAAAGTGAGTGAAATAAATTAGAGGAAGTTTAAGCGATATCTGATTAAAAATAGAAAGTCATGAATTGTTGAAGTTGTCACTAGTTTATAGCATCATCAACTTTTACTGACATGTATCACTCATTTTTCTGCTTCTTTCAAAACTATTAACTAAATATCAGGGTGGACTTCCCCTTTAACAAATGCTTACTTCTTAATCTGAGAATTGATAATTTCATCTGCATACAGATGCTAAGCTTCAACCCATTTTGACATTTTATTCTTTCTGAAATACTGTATATTTTTACTAGATAAACTGGACTCTAGAGAATGTTCACTTTTATTGCATGATGATTTTATTGATCCCTTTTTGAAATATAGCAAATCCTTTCAATGTAGCCATATGTAGAACAACACTTCTTTTAGAAGTCACTTTTCATGATCTCAACAATGTGTCTTAATACAGTGTGGTGTTACGTATGGACTACATGAAGCTCCGTAGCGAGCATTCTGCTGTGAAGTCTTTCTGTCTTCAGGCAGACTGTAGATGGAGAGCCCTTGAGAGGTCGCTAACTCTGCTCGTATTAACGGGCGTAGATGGGGCTAGTCTTGATGAGATCAAACTCCGTATCATCAAGTGCAAGGAAAGATTGTATGAGGTACAGAATGTTTTTCACAGCATTTTCTACGTAGAGAAGAAATTTCTGAAAGAAGAAGGTTCCCACATGCTTTTAAATTGATTACACCCAAAATAGATCTCGCAGCATTCAAGGAATAAAACTGAACCAGGTTTGGTTGCCTATGCTTGATGAGATCAAACGTTGTATCATCAAGTGCAAGGAAAGGTTGTTTAAGGTACAGAATGATTGTTAACAACAATTTTTATTTAGAGAAGATAATTCTTGTATAAGAAAGTTACCAGGTGCTTTAAAAGATATTGCACCCAAAATTAAATCACATCATTCCAGGAATAAAAGTCTTCCAGTTACTGAACCAAAAATTCCTTTTCTATAAGAGCCTAATCTAAATATGATCTACATGTATGCTTTTTAGAGAAAATTCTTGAAATATATTTAATTGATGCATTTTTCATCATAAGTGAAAGCAAAAGTTTGTATGAAAAATCTACATGTGATATCTATAGCCTTGATACGATCATACCACATGATTATATTAAGTACTTAACCGCAAAATGTCCTCGGATATGGTCAGTTCTTTGTAAAATGTTATGCTTTTTCTATTGTAAAGCAAGAGGTAGATATTGATTTGTAGATTAACATGTTTCATATTATGTTGATACAGTTGAACAAGGTTTGTGATCATGTGGAGTCATCTCTGGATGCAGTAGAAAAAACAGCCATCAAAGACGATTATCTGTCATCTCAATGGGAAGGAATTAGACAACAGCTTGTTCTACCAGTTGAAAAGTATGTACAAAACATGTCCTTGTGAAAGTAGAAGGACTATTCTTACGATAGGAAGAGATTGTCATAATGTTATAGTCATGTTATAGAATCATGAACCTTAGTACACCTTGTGACTCAGTGTAGCTATAGTTACCGGTATATATTTTGTTGTCCACATGTTCATTTATCCATGCAGCCTTAAATACAATCTGTAAAACTAGATCAAAAATTTTGAAAATTTCTTGAGAGGGCCGCATTCATGAACGTGTCCTGCAAAAACAGCCATTAGAACAATTTGTATCAGTTACTAGTTTTACAATATTTCTTGTAAGATGTGAAGAAGTATCATAAACATCATTTCAGTTCAGGGGTTTTGAAAACAAAATCCAAGTGTTCACTTCATCATCACTCTGATAAACATATTTCTCGATCTTGATCAGGATTGGGCGATTGAAGGTTCTGTGCGAGGAAGGACTGTCGACGTACAAACATTTCAAGAGAGACAAGCAGACCAAACAACTTTCCTACAACGAAGAACAAATCCATAGAATGGACAAGTAAGACCTTGTTTTTCAAAGAGCTGATATCTGTGACCTTGTTTTTCAAAGAGCTGATATCTGTGACCTTGTTTTTCAAAGAGCTGATATCCGTGACCTTATTTTTCAAAGAGCTGATATCTGTGACCTTATTTTTCAAGAGCTTATATCCGTGACCTCGTTTTTCAAAGAGCTGATATCTGTGACCTCGTTTTTCAAAGAGCTGATATCTGTGACCTTATTTTTCAAAGAGCTGATATCTGTGACCTTATTTTTCAAAGAGGCTGATATCTGTGACCTTGTTTTTCAAAGAGGCTGATATCTGTGACCTTGTTTTTCAAAGAGCTGATATCTGTGACCTTATTTTTCAAAGAGCTGATATCCGTGACCTCGTTTTTCAAAGAGCTGATATCTGTGACCTTGTTTTTCAAAGAGCTGATATCCGTGACCTCGTTTTTCAAAGAGCTGATATCTGTGACCTTATTTTTCAAAGAGCTACCCTTTAATCTCACAATATACAATATTGTCCATTTAGAGCCAGAAGGGTGTTAACTCATAAACTTATTCAAGAGTTAACACCCATCTGGCTCCGAAAAAGGGTTGTTTTCAGAAGAATTAATTATAGTACCGTAAATCTCCGTGTATAAGGCGCACTTTTTTTTTTTTTTTTTTTAGTTTTGATTTATGGCGCTATGCCTGGCAATGTTTCCTAGTTCAGTAATCAGTGTGGTGACTCACCACTCGGAAACTACAACAGCACTCAAATTTGTCAGTCATCTTGGTTTGAAAGTAATCTTTCTAATAGATCTAAATATGTAGTTTATAATAATAATTCCTCAAATTTTTTTTCTATAACAAATAGTGTACCACAATGTTCTATCCTAGGTACTCCATTGTCAGAAATTTAGAGGATGCTATTCATATCATGCATGACTATTGATGTTTAGCATAGAACACAGTGCTTCTGCTAGGTGATGTGAAGAGGCTGGTGTGGGACACTTGGTATCATGAAGCCTTAGACTGTTGTTACTATTATTTTTGACAAGTTCACAACTTCAACTGCACCTCGATGTAAAATTAAGGTCCTTCCCCGAGTGGGTTTTCGGCATCAAAACAACAACAACAACAAAACCAAAAACGATTTTTTTTTTTTTTTTTTTTTTTTTTTTTTTTTTTTTTTTCTTCCCCCAAAATAGGGGTGCGCCTTATACACGGAGATTTACGGTAATGTTTATCCCCTCTTTCTTTCTCTTCAGGGAAAAATTGGCTAAAAAAATGGTGAATGCCAAAAAGATCTTTGACGAGTTGTTTGAAATCCTCAAGAGTCTTCATCACAACTTTGGTACCTGGCACGGGTAAGCAAAACGTTGTTAATTTACTTATTATTAATGTATATATATGCACTGATTATTTCCAGTTAAAAATTAACATTATTAGTGAATTCAGCCCAGTTAAGAACAGAAAGAATGCAAGTGAGGTACTAAGAGAGAGCGGTTCAGAGTCATTGGAAACGTTGAAGGAGGATGAACAAAATTTGTATCGTGGGAATAAATAAGAGGTTAAACCAACAAAAAATGTAGGCCTATGAAGATATGACGTTTTGCTTGAATGATTGTTGAAGTGAGAGTTCATTTCGTTTGCCTAACTGGACGAGTGTGGTTGAAGATGCTTGTAACCGTGTTTTGGTTGTCCTTTGACATTTGTGCTGGTTTTTGGGCACTGCAGAATTGTATCTGTGTTATAAGACACTTCATTATCCAGGCGTATTACAGTGTATTGAATGCATGGTATTGAATGCATGGTATGAAGGTTTCTGTTTATTTTACAATGCTCAAGTTATTCAATTCTCTTATTAAAGGAGTTATTAATGTGCATATCAGAGAATTTGATATGGATGGAATTCAGATATGTGCCAAAACACGAACATAAATTAGATTATGGCTTCTTTTCCAGACGGATAAATTCACATGTGTTTTAATGGCTGATGTCTTTATCACAAAAATCCAGTTTCACACAGTTGCAGCCTTCTCAGTTCTGAAATTATTTCATCTCCCACAGAAGTTACAGGAGCAGGAATTATCTTGAAGTGTTTATCAAGGTTCAGCTAACATTGCAAACAAACATCTTTGATGTTCAACTTCAAGTCTGTGTACATGTACAAATACATGCACCCAAAGATGGTCCAGAATGTATTTCAATCTGTTGATAAGGGACAAAATGCATGGTTTCCCACAAAATTGTAAATCTTTTCTTCTATGGTGGGTTTATAATCAAATGGAAGATGAAAATCAATTGTGATCGTCTGATTGAAATCGAGATTGACTTTGTTTTTATGCTGCTTTTGGATCCCTGTTAAATCGTTTTACATTTTATATCATGTCAACAGATTTTTGGAGGTCATATGTTAAAACGTTATCATATCACTCCTACTACCCATCCTCTCTAACCTGAGCTAAGAAAGATAACCAACAGTCTTTTTCAAGACTACCAACAGTCCTTTTCAGGACTGCACACACTCAAGAAAGAAAGATTACCGAGAGTCCTTTCCAGCTAGTCTCCCCAATCCTCCCCCTCTCTCACATGGTGCAACTGCAAGCCTACTGTTATCATATCAGTTCTCATACTGTGACATTTTGCAGTAATCATACTCTAAGTATTTGGGAAAGGTTGCTCCTGTAGATTCAACATCTGTCTGAGAGAAAAACATTGTGATTTTGATCTTTTTACTTTGATACATGGACAAATATGGTATGTGAGAGGTATGTATAGTAGAAAGTAGTTAGTTCTACCCTACTGACTATTTACTTTTAAGGCTTCTTGTTAGATAATTGGGATAATTTTAATTTAATTCTATACATATTTGAAAGGTGTCGTATTCAATTGGCTTAACTTGACTTTAAATGCAAAGGTCGTGGGTTTTGATCCCTGACACAGCACTAATTTCCTTTGGAATTTGCCACTCCATACCCAGGAGACAAATGGGGACCTGGTAGGATGACGAAAGCTTTTGTGTCAGTAATTGTCATATGCCCTCACAGTGACCATATGGTAGGAATACTACGCAGGGAGTGGAGAAGGTGCACATTGTGCGTGAATGAATCTGATGACTGGGGTAATACTATCTGTTACGCACTTAGAGACAGTATTTTGTATTGAGCTCTATATAAATCCAGATTATAATTTTTCTCTTAATCGGTACTCATGCATAAACCATATACACTGTATAGCTGCAATTGGTCTCTGCATTTTATTTTATTTGTTATTACTGTTTGTTAAATGAGTTTTATAGAGGGAATACTGATGATAAATACATTTACATTATTTTATCTCACTAGATCCAAATGCAAATCCATATACAATACATGTAGTATTACAGGAGGAGGATTTCCAGTACATATTGCAGAATTAACATGTACCACTTTATGGCACTTTGAGAATTTATTTTGTGTGTATATTACTATGTCCACTGTCATCAGGAATCACTGCTTTCCGTATTCATATTTTTCTCCTTAGCATTATTGTATCGGCGACGATGAAGATCTTTACAAGATGTCACAAATGGAGATCAAGAAAAAACATGTGATCTGTAGTCGAGCATGTTTTACCCTCACTAATCTGGTTTGAGATCAATTGCTGGGAAGACGCGCCCTGAAGATGGCTGCTAGCATCTCATGCCACAGAATCCTACCATGGAAATAACAGTGCCTTGAATGTTCTGAAATAAATCCATGCTATGATCATGCATTGCCCATTCCTCGGCCAAAATGACTCTTTTTATGTGCCCATCCATTGAGATCTGCGTAGGTATCTTCAAGCATCCTGGTAACATCTCTATCAGAGTGACAGAGCTTTTTGAATTCACAGCCCTTTTCAGGGCTCGTATTCTTTGAGAGAAGAATATGTGGTGTCAAAAGCTTTGTCCATGAATCAGTGAAGTATATTCTCATAGCAAGATACATGTATGTATATGAATTGTCATAATGAAATGATTCATTGAATAAATACATTTGTACTTTCATAATAAGCAATTCCAGTCTATTGATTATTTTTATATTAGGTTTTATGCACTAACATTCCGTAGCAAGTGGATATGATTAACTGAAGTTGAATATGAAATGTAGTTTCATATAGCGGTAGGTTTTAGTAATAGGTTAGGTTATATATATTTATTGTTAATGCAAGGCATTTTCTTTTTGTTCTCTTTTACATTACTGGGCAATTGGATGTTGTGGAAAACAGCGTTTGAATGTTTATTTCTGGCTAGTGTTTTAACCATCAGCACATGTCTTAACGTATGTTCATTCACAGCTATCAGATGTAGAAGCATTCTCGAGGAAAAACTCCCTGAATTTGCCTTTGCATTTTATGATTTTTGGAACAGTGAAGAAACATCAAATTGGGACTGCTTGCTTCTGTCAAAGACTAACTGTATATGTGGGATCAAATGATCATTATGAGTTAACACTTTGCAGTTTAGATTTACAATACAATACATGGTTTGCTGGAATGCATGTAATTCATAGATGCTTATTTTTTTATAAATTTATATTGAAATATGGCCAAAAATCTTTGAAATTTGTAATGATCAATGTAGGCATCCATGGAACAGAAGTAATGCATCTATTTGGGGCCCATTTGTGACTTCAAGGTCTCCTTCTCTTTGAGCTTTTTAAAGCAATAGAATAATAATGTCAACTACCTGGAAATATAAAAGAAAAACAAGATGAAGACTGTCACAAAATGTTTTGAAGGGTACCATAACATTCTTAATTAGATCTTTGATGATTGATTTTTTATTTTTTTTTATTTAGGTTCTTCTCTCATGGTGTTGTTTTTGTTTTGACAATAATCAGGTCTAAAAATTGCAAAAATATTGGGTCCCATGTCTGTGATTTACTATGTATTACATTCTCATTTATATCTTCATCCTAATTAATGTTTGAATTTCTTATTTTATACTTTTATTACAGAACTCAATTTTTTCTTTTTTTCAAAATTTCTTTTCAAAATGCCACGAAGATACATGTGAATTTCTTATACTACACCTTTATTTCAGAATTCAATTTTGTCTTTTTATTCAAAATTTCTTTTAAAAAAGCAGAGAAGATACATGTAAATATCAAATGAATCATACTTGACATAATGAAGTGTTGTAATGAGTTTGTTGCTTTAATGTGTGTCTCCTTTCATTTTCATACACCCTAACCAAGCATTTAAAAAGTATCCCAACAAAAGTATCATATTTAAAAGTTTCTTCAGAGATTATTACAATACCATCATTTCTTTTAATATTAATCATAATCATTTCACAGTCTTATGTCCCTTTCTGTTTTTTCTTCCTCCCTCCTGTGTTTGTTTTTCTGTTTTCTGTTTAGAACCGGCAGCGAAACACGTAAGTTCCAGGACCAGTTGACCAGTGCAATGTACAGACTGCCGGATCTTCCACATAATTATAAGAAGGTCTTAAATGAACTCAGCAAGGTGATTTCTTATTTTCTAGTTGAAGAATAAAAAAAAAACTGTTGATGCAGGAAAGTAGGGAAAATAATCTCAACTTGAATCATTATCAAAAGGGCTTTTGGTGTTGTTTTAAAAGAAAGTTGCCCCCCCCCCCCCCAAGAGTAGAATTCCAAATTGTCCCAAAATAGATGATCTATTGTACATTCTGGCATCTTCTCGCATTTTAAGCATGAATGAGTATAAAATATGATCTTGAAGCTTTTCATTGGAATGAAATGTGTGTGTTTCAATCAGGGTAATGATTTTTACACATGGTCTCAAAAAATAGTTGAATTATTTATCAATCAAAAGATATTCCTGACGTTTGTAAGGAAAATGATTAACCCTTTGATAGGGAAGAAACACTACTGGTATATGTTCCTATTGAGAAATGGTAACAATAATTCTAATAGTACCATGGTGTTAAAATCATAAACCATAAGTAAAGGAGATATACTGATATGTTTACTGACATATTCAAATTTTATGCATACTTCTTAAAAAAGGGTTCTTGACAAAGGAAAGGGGCAGGGGGCACGCAATTTCGCAGTTTGCATAATATGGGGTCCCTCTTGCAAGGTGTGTAGCCCCCCCCCCCCCCCCAAAAAAAAAAGTAATACATCAATTGTGAGTTAAAAGAGAAAGGAACAAAAATGAAAGAGTATTAAACAACGATAGAAGAAAGGTGCGAGAGCATGAGGAATTGCATTTCTTTTAAAAGAATAATGGGATAACAACCAGGGGCATCACTAAAGGGGTGGGGGGGGGGGTTGTGACACCCCCTCCCCAACCTGTCAGAATATGGTCAGTAAAATTGCGCTGCTGTCAGGAAATATGAGAAAAGGGGGAGGGGATAAATGAGGGGGAATGGGAAAGAAAAGAAAAAAAGAAAAGATAGAAAAAGGAACAAAAGAAACCTTGGGGGGGGGGGGTGTCTGAATTGTCTGAATTCATTAAATTATTAGAGAAAGAAGACATTTCGTTGTACCGACTCTTAATCATCGTCTCAATTTTGCCGGCCGACCAACATAATACATCTCACCGACTTCAAACTTTTGCATTGATATAGTACAAGAAAATCGAGCAAGAATACAGACAAAGCGGACCCGATACAGCAACATAATTATCTATACGTATCTTTCTTGCTCCTTCGACATGGCGACTCCGCCCAACATCGCCCTCTCTCTCTTATCTCAGGCTCTCACCCCCCTCTCTCTCCTCTCTTTCACCCCCAGTTTCTTTTGTTTCCTTTTTCTCCTTTTTTCCCTTTTTTTTTCCTTTTCTCCTTTTTTATTCCTATTCTCCTTTTTTTTTCCTTTTCTCCTTTTTTTTTTTCCTTTTCTTTCTTTTTCTTTTCCCCTTTTCTTTCTTTTCCTTTCCGTTTTTCTTTTCTTTCTTTTCCTTTCCGTTTTTCTTTTCTTTCCCTTTCCCTTTCCATCCCCCTTTTCTCATTTTTCCCATTTTCGCTGTGTCGGTATTCTTGCTCGATCCTCGTGTGCTATATCAATGCAAAAGTTTAAAGTTTGTGAGATGTATATGTCGGTGAGATGTATATGTCATTTCCCCCCCCCCCTACGAACTGTGACTTTTTATCGGCCAATGAAACGTCAAAGCATCAGCGCTTCAGGCGGGAGGGGGGGGGGGGTTGAATTCAGACAAGGATTAAGAGACGAAAACAGTACAATGAATCTTCTCGCTCTAATAATTTAATGAGATGTGAAAGCTTCCGCGCTTTGCTTCAGACAAGGATTACGAGTAATAATTTAATGTAACGTCAAAGCTTTTTTTCCTACGAACTGAATTTTTTTTCGGCCAAAAAACCCTTTTTGAAAATTCAGACAATGATGAAGAGTCAGTACAACGAATCGTCTTCTTCCTCTAATAATTTAATGAAACTTAAAACCTTCCCCGCTTTGCTTTAGACAAGGATTAAGAGTAATAATTTAATGAAACGTCGAGGCTTTCGCGCGGGAGGGGGGCAACTAAAGTCAGACTAGAATAAAGAGTCGAGAACGGTACAACGAATCGTCTTCTTTCTCTAATAATATAATGAAACGTGAAAGCTTCCGCACTTTGCTTCAGACAAGGATTAGGATTAATATAATTTAATGAAACGTCAAAGCTTTTTTCCTACGAACTGTGACTTTTTATCGGACAAAATAAGATATCGGACAAAATTGAAAATTCAGATAAAGATTAAGAGTCGGTACAACAAATCGTCTTCTTTCTCTAATAATTTAATAAAACGTCACAGCTTCCGCGGTTGGGGCGGGGGGGGGGGGGACTGAATTCAGACAAGGAGTAAGAGTCGAAAACGTTACAACGTTAAAAGAAAGTTGCCCCCCCCCCAAGAGTAGAATTCCAAATTGTCCCAAAATAGATGATCTATTGTACATTCTGGCATCTTCTCGCATTTTAAGCATGAATGAGTATAAAATATGATCTTGAAGCTTTTCATTGGAATGAAATGTGTGTGTTTCAATCAGGGTAATGATTTTTACACATGGTCTCAAAAAATAGTTGAATTATTTATCAATCAAAAGATATTCCTGACGTTTGTAAGGAAAATGATTAACCCTTTGATAGGGAAGAAACACTACTGGTATATGTTCCTATTGAGAAATGGTAACAATAATTCTAATAGTACCATGGTGTTAAAATCATAAACCATAAGTAAAGGAGATATACTGATATGTTTACTGACATATTCAAATTTTATGCATACTTCTTAAAAAAGGGTTCTTGACAAAGGAAAGGGGCAGGGGGCACGCAATTTCGCAGTTTGCATAATATGGGGTCCCTCTTGCAAGGTGTGTAGCCCCCCCCCCCCCCCCCAAAAAAAAGTAATACATCAATTGTGAGTTAAAAGAGAAAGGAACAAAAATGAAAGAGTATTAAACAACGATAGAAGAAAGGTGCGAGAGCATGAGGAATTGCATTTCTTTTAAAAGAATAATGGGATAACAACCAGGGGCATCACTAAAGGGGTGGGGGGGGGGGGTTGTGACACCCCCTCCCCAACCTGTCAGAATATGGTCAGTAAAATTGCGCTGCTGTCAGGAAATATGAGAAAAGGGGGAGGGGATAAATGAGGGGGAATGGGAAAGAAAAGAAAAAAAGAAAAGATAGAAAAAGGAAACAAAAGAAACCTTGGGGGGGGGGGGGGTGTCTGAATTGTCTGAATTCATTAAATTATTAGAGAAAGAAGACATTTCGTTGTACCGACTCTTAATCATCGTCTCAATTTTGCCGGCCGACCAACATAATACATCTCACCGACTTCAAACTTTTGCATTGATATAGTACAAGAAAATCGAGCAAGAATACAGACAAAGCGGACCCGATACAGCAACATAATTATCTATACGTATCTTTCTTGCTCCTTCGACATGGCGACTCCGCCCAACATCGCCCTCTCTCTCTTATCTCGGGCTCTCACCCCCCTCTCTCTCCTCTCTTTCACCCCCAGTTTCTTTTGTTTCCTTTTTCTCCTTTTTTCCCTTTTTTTTTCCTTTTCTCCTTTTTTATTCCTATTCTCCTTTTTTTTTCCTTTTCTCCTTTTTTTTTTTCCTTTTCTTTCTTTTTCTTTTCCCCTTTTCTTTCTTTTCCTTTCCGTTTTTCTTTTCTTTCTTTTCCTTTCCGTTTTTCTTTTCTTTCCCTTTCCCTTTCCATCCCCCTTTTCTCATTTTTCCCATTTTCGCTGTGTCGGTATTCTTGCTCGATCCTCGTGTGCTATATCAATGCAAAAGTTTAAAGTTTGTGAGATGTATATGTCGGTGAGATGTATATGTCATTTCCCCCCCCCCCCCCTACGAACTGTGACTTTTTATCGGCCAATGAAACGTCAAAGCATCAGCGCTTCAGGCGGGAGGGGGGGGGGGGTTGAATTCAGACAAGGATTAAGAGACGAAAACAGTACAATGAATCTTCTCGCTCTAATAATTTAATGAGATGTGAAAGCTTCCGCGCTTTGCTTCAGACAAGGATTACGAGTAATAATTTAATGTAACGTCAAAGCTTTTTTTCCTACGAACTGAATTTTTTTTCGGCCAAAAAACCCTTTTTGAAAATTCAGACAATGATGAAGAGTCAGTACAACGAATCGTCTTCTTCCTCTAATAATTTAATGAAACTTAAAACCTTCCCCGCTTTGCTTTAGACAAGGATTAAGAGTAATAATTTAATGAAACGTCGAGGCTTTCGCGCGGGAGGGGGGCAACTAAAGTCAGACTAGAATAAAGAGTCGAGAACGGTACAACGAATCGTCTTCTTTCTCTAATAATATAATGAAACGTGAAAGCTTCCGCACTTTGCTTCAGACAAGGATTAGGATTAATATAATTTAATGAAACGTCAAAGCTTTTTTCCTACGAACTGTGACTTTTTATCGGACAAAATAAGATATCGGACAAAATTGAAAATTCAGATAAAGATTAAGAGTCGGTACAACAAATCGTCTTCTTTCTCTAATAATTTAATAAAACGTCACAGCTTCCGCGGTTGGGGCGGGGGGGGGGGGGGGGGGACTGAATTCAGACAAGGAGTAAGAGTCGAAAACGTTACAACGTTAAAAGAAAGTTGCCCCCCCCCCCCCAAGAGTAGAATTCCAAATTGTCCCAAAATAGATGATCTATTGTACATTCTGGCATCTTCTCGCATTTTAAGCATGAATGAGTATAAAATATGATCTTGAAGCTTTTCATTGGAATGAAATGTGTGTGTTTCAATCAGGGTAATGATTTTTACACATGGTCTCAAAAAATAGTTGAATTATTTATCAATCAAAAGATATTCCTGACGTTTGTAAGGAAAATGATTAACCCTTTGATAGGGAAGAAACACTACTGGTATATGTTCCTATTGAGAAATGGTAACAATAATTCTAATAGTACCATGGTGTTAAAATCATAAACCATAAGTAAAGGAGATATACTGATATGTTTACTGACATATTCAAATTTTATGCATACTTCTTAAAAAAG